TTCAAAGAGTTTTTAACATGTTAAACACACATTATGTATGACTAGTCGATCAATGATCAATGATGCGAATCAATGTGAATGCCATTCACTGATCAATATTTGTTTTAAAAAAAAACAAAATCATGTGGTCAAAGTTCAACTGAACTGTACATGTACATGTACAATGAAACGAAAAAAATAATTAGAAACCTTCAAACCACTGGACGGCCGTTTCATTCCAACATCTAACAATGATTGATTACTGGTTTCAACGTGTGAAAACACTGATCTCCATAACTCTCATTGAAAAAAAGCCGTACAATGTGCTCACTCGTAACTAGCTTCTTGGTGAGGAAATTCTCGGACTTCTAGTTGAGAAGAAGATGTGACCGATGGAATTCTCTCCTGTCGGGTGTAGGCAGTAACTATCGAAAACAAATGGATGAGGTAGCGCAAAATCCGTAGGTTGACCAGAGTTAGACATTAACACTGTTGGATGCGTTCGCACTTTAGACCGAAGGTCCTGTGTTCGATTCCTACGGGTGTGGTGCGCGCTACTTATAAGTAGTATATGACGCGAGTGTAAACATAATGTCTGCCAGCAGATGATGGGGGAAGATCAAGAAAGTAAGAGTGGGAACACAATGGAATTTGTATGAAACGCATGAACAGTGAAATGTCAGACAATGGATTGATGATGGATTGAAGGTCCTGTGTTCGATTCCCACAGGTTGTAAGACTTTTGGATGCGCACTGTTGATGAGTCTCATACGAAGACTTGACAGCCGTCTTTCAGTACTTCCAAGTTTCTAATGGTGATCTAACAATGGCTGATTGATAATCTCAACGTGTAAAAAAATATTATGATTTTTTTTTCCCGATTACCATTTTCTTGCAGACTACGTTTACGTAAATGTGGCTTGCCAGAATTAATACCTGGACCAATATTTAATCAAACTGATGTGTTGACATTATTCACTAATCCACATCAAGGTTTAATGTTACAATTGACCAGTACTCAATCAACACATAATATCTCAAAATTATTAAATACTACTCATAATACTACTAATAATAATAATGATAGTAATGATCATAATTCTTCACATTTTACAACCAATCATAAATCACGTACATGTTCAATATTTCTACGTCAATGGCATCCATCCAATTATACATTTGATCAATGGCATGAATTAGTCATTAGTTATTATCCAATTAAACAATCCTATCAAGATATTTTACTGGAATGGCTTACACAGTATACTGGTTTACATGTGGAACAAATAGAAGTGGCTGAGGTAAATTAGCATGAATGTGTGTGTGTGTTTTTCACCCTTTTTGAAAATCTACACGTAATGCAGTTTGTGTTGCGTGTGAAACGAAATTGGTCACAATCAAATTCATCATTGAATATATGCGTTCATAAGTGTCAATGGTGTTAGTTTTTTTCCCCCCCTAATTGTTGTAAATATTTGATTTAAATGAAACCAGGATAACAATTCATGAACGGGGAATAAACTGTATGACTACAGTTGTGTTGTGTATTATTGGATTGGCTGAGATAGATTGTCGGTGTATCTAAACCGCGAAGGAGATGGGTTTTTTTGCTTAGAAGGTCATTCACTACTCCCTGAACTTTTGACACTTGGAAGTCTAATCCAATTGGTAGTGTGGAGTGGAACGATATGGTAGCTCGTAGACACATTTATACGCCATTAGGTTATTTCATGTTTATCATAGGTATTTCATTTGGAATCAGGGGTTTTTTTAAAACCCGAAATAGGTGAATTCCCCCTATATACACCAACTTGGTTTAATCTGTCGTCTGAGAATCCCTATAGTTCAGGCTTCCCATATAAGTGGTGGAAAAAATTCAATCATATCTAAAACCTTTTACGATTCTTTCGATTGACAATAAACTTTGCCGACACCAAGTTTATGTGCGTGTGTCGAATTCCAATCACTCACCCTCCCAATCTTATTATTGGTTAATAATAATTACCGTCGGTAAAATTTTAAAACTGATTCACAACCTATTTCTTATGTTGATACAATAATCAATCAACTAAGTATGTAAAATAGGTCTCTCGATATGCTTAAAGCTATTACGAGTTCACCTAGGTCGATAAACGCGAACGAGACAATGAACCAGCGCCCAGATAGGCTACCCTGATCCGTTGACTAATAAAAAGTCTTGATATAGCTTAGAAAGTGTATTATGCAAACAATCATCTCAAACACAATCATCGCAAACACACAAATCGCGTTTATTTATACTCTATAGAGACGTCCTTAGGACAATCACGAAATTAGCATACTAAAATAACACATCAACCAATGAAAGTCAAGGATTTTCCGAGTGGGAAATACAATCTCAAGGTCAACTGATCAGCTCATCCTCGGAAACATAAAATCCAAAATTAACGCATTTATCTAAAGTCCCCAACACTTCTGTCTCACGAATAATTAAAAATCCATTTGGTTCCACACCGAAGCTACATTGAAACACTATTCTTCTATTTTTATTTCGTTTACATATGTTCAGGATTTCCAGCTGTCAGTTAGTGTTCATCAAATCAGTCGGGGCTTCATATTCTTCTTTGATGCACAAAATAACATAACTCATCCACATGGTAAATGTTCTCACATCAATATCGTTTTGTTTTGCACAACATGGGATCAAACCTGAACCTTTTGAATTCCTCATCACTTTATTTTACTAGATTCTACTTCTTGAATACTATCTTTGAACTGTAATCTCTCCGATTACTGCTAATACTTTTACTACCTCGTAATGTATGGTATGACAACTTGAACACTGATGTACATATGTAGGTACGTACATACGAAGTTCTACGTTGCCATTGATTGATTGTGTTACGCCTGCACGTAAACACGTCAACTTGATAAACTTGAACTATTACGAGTTTACCTAGTCGGAAAACGAAAGCGAGGATCCGGTGACACGACATGCTACTCAAATCCTTTTATCCCAACCCTCATATTGAGCAAAAATAAGAAGACTTGAATGTGAAGTAGAATCTGTGTTCTACAAGCATCCAGAAAGTACGAGGTCCGAATCCAGAAGAAATTCACAATCCTGGACTAGGGATCCAAGACCGAGCACTGTTCCTGGTCATAAAACGTTACAGATAATGTGTATTTATACATTTTGGTCTAATAGGAAACAGCATCGAAGTCTGTGACATTGACATTTAAGACGACCAATAGGAAGCAACAGTTGAAGTGACATTGATAGGCAAGACAACCAATAAGAAACAACATTGGGGCACGTGACATTGATATCTAGGACGACCATAAAATTGACCAGTAGCAATTAACCTATAAGAAAGAATTGACTAATAATCATTCTCTTAGGCTATTGGATGAATATTCTAACAGATTGATTGATTGACATATGAGATCAACTTTTCTTTTTCATTTTCTTGTAACACGTTTGTTTATAGGTTAATTTCCCCGGCATAGTTCATGCATTCAATGTAAGTTCATCAAATTGTTCACTGGAATGGATCAAATTTTCTCAGCATTCCAATATACTATCGTCTGTTACAAATGGAAAAGTTATATTTTTCAGGTAAATAAAGTAGTATCTATTGTTTATAATAATAATCTTCATTAGATTACCTCTTATTTGATTGGTGTTTATTTGTTGGATATATTTTGCTGTGTCTATCTGTTAGGTACTGAACTTTAATAAGAGTAGAGGATATTCCTAGGGTACTAGTTAATATTCGATCGTAGGTGTCTTCGAAGCATTGCTCGTGTGTCCTGGGACCACACATTAAGCAATGCTGTTGTTAAGAACAGGGTATTAGGTAAAGATAGCAAGATCAACAGATAAAGTAGTGAAACTTCGTCAGTTGAGGTGGTTGGGACATGTGTTACCTATGTCTAACCACTGACTGCCCCGAAGGGTGCGGATGCCTGGTACACGGATGGGCTGAATGAAAGCTAGGCGGGACCAGACCAAAACATGGCTCAAATTCATGAAGTCACTGACAACTGGATTAGATCACATTGGTAAGTATCAAATACCTGGTTGTGGTCCGCGATAGGATAGTATTCGATAGTTAGAGACCTTAATTGACATACCTCAAAACTGTGTGCGATGGCGCAGGTGTATCCATTCTTAGTGTTCGCTCAAATCTTAATCTTGTGAGGTCCGCATACCTTTTTTTCTGTTCTTTTCACATCGATTCTTCCGGAATGTACTTCTCGAATCATAACTTCCGTCACTAATCTTCTCCATTACCGCTAATATTTCTGCTCCATTTACTACTATTGGATTTGAATTGACAATTCGATCTCTGTCTGTATGCTAATATGGTATCGCAAAATGAACTAATGTACATACATACGTATGAAGTTCTACGTTGTAGTTGACTTACTGGCTCAGGTGCTCAAAACTGTAACCTTTTTTAAAATACTAGTAATCTTTCGATTCTTATGTAGTAATTTTCCTTAACCCCCTTCATATGCAGTGTCACTTTTGTATGTGTCCGAATGTCCTCTTCTTGTTTCGAACTAAAAAAAAATTATGTTTAAATCGAATTTTCGATTGCTTGTTCTCGCCAGTCACAATCAGATCAGATCAGATTGCAGCCGAAATCTGAACAAAATATCAAATAATATCTATGTAGTTTCACAATAAAATTTAGTTTGATTTAAAAAAAAAAACATTGACCAACCTCTTCTGTTGATCATTGAAAAATTGAAGAGCAACATTTTTTTCCACTTCATTTCTCTCGGTCTTATGGAATCCTTAGGATATTTTTTTAAAAAACCGTTTTTATTGTCTTGTTTTGTTGTAACCTCATTTTATTGTAAAAAAATTCAAATTACTTAACAAATAACATATCGGAAGACGTGACTAGTGGAGTACAAGGCTGTCTGATGTAGGTAGGTAATAACTACCGAGGACAACTTGGTGAGGTCGCGCGAAATCTGTAAATTGTTCAGAGTTGGACGTTACCTCGGTTGAGTGTCGTCCGACCTAGTGGTTCGGAGGCTAGGCGTTCGCGCGTAAGATCGATGGTCATGGGTTCGAATGCTGCGAAGAACAGTAGTCGTGGATGCGCACTGCTGATGAGTCCCCTATACCAGGACTTGACGACCGTCTTTCAGTGCTTTCAGGTTTCTAATTGTGGTGGTCTAACAATGATTGATTGATTGATTGATAATTTCAAATGTGTAACAAACACTAATCTCCATAACTCTAATTTAAAAAAAAAACGGAATAACAACTGATTATTGTCTGTTTGTTCGCTTGCTTGCCCGTAAATTCAAATCTCTAATCGGCTTATTTCTTTTAATTCTCTTGTGTTACCCCATTAGGGATGCTAAAGAAGAGTCAAAAGTCTTGGACTCCAAAGAAATTATTGATTTACATCAAAAAGAAATTTTACGGTAAATTCAATTGTTGCATGTTTTTGTAATATACATATATATGTGTATATATTTGAAGTAAATATCACTTTTTATAAATATGATGGTCGATCATTATTCAACTTTTGAATAACCGGGTAAGCAATGCTATAGTATTAGGTAAGAATGGCAGATCAATAGATGAAGTATTGAAACTTCATCAGTTGAAGTGGTTGGGACATGTGTCGCGTATGCCTGACCACTGATTAGCCCGACGAGCTATGTTTAGTGGTGTAGGAATAAGTTGGTAGAAAGCCTAGGGGTGACCAAACCTGAACATGGCACAAATCCATGAAGTCACTGACAGGTGGACTGAGTCATTCAAGTATAAACTACCTGATTGGGGTCCGCGAGTTGATAGTAACCCAATGGTTAGAGAGCTTGAATGACATGGTTTGTAATTTTCTGTCTCCTTCAGTGTATATTCTTCACTATCTAATTATGTACACACTTCTTATTACGTAATGATTTTAATGTTTTGTAATGATTATTTTAAGTCTATTGATCCACTGTTCGACCTACTATCTCTAATGTTAGACTATTGACTCCAACTTTAGTTATCGTATTTTATAATTTTCTTACTACTATCAACTTGTACTTTTCCACCTATTATGTGTGTAGTGACGTCATCTCTATTTCATTTCATTGTGATTATTAACTCATAAATTGTCTTGATTGGTTTAAAATTTTCATCATAAATACTCATGTATATCAGACAGTAAAGCCTGATGACGATCTAATCGAAAACAACAATATTGTTTGCCTATCTGTGTTGTTCTAATATCTCAAATAGTTTTGATACAATAATGAAGAGAAGACTGTAAATTTCCACGGTTAGGCTTGTGATTAGTTCAAATATGATTTTTCACAAGGTATAACATCTCATTACAGAGTTCTCGAACAGTACAAGTCCACAAACTCAAACTTGGTGTGTTATTCAGTTTCATTGACATTGTTTAACCTACAGACATGTGACTTTTTGTTAATTTCTCATGACTGGTATGTACTGTTTGTCTTTTTATCTGTTTGTATTACTGAATTATTTTAAATTAAAAGTTGTTCTCTATTTTTTTCCACCTTACTTTACTTTTAATTCTATATTTAGCCTAGAATCTTTAACATCACCATGGCGTATGCGATCTCTACCGATTCCTTCATCAGTTTGGGATGATCATTATGCTAATTGGTCTGGTAATTCAACATCGTTATCATGTAAATTAGATTCATCGACTAATATTACTAATACTACTAATAGTAGTAATAGTAGTAGAGATATGTTTACCAATCATCCCGGTTCATCTATTGCCACCTGTTCACTTCGTTATCCTGAACCTAGTTCATCCTATTCATTTACATGTAGAACTACTCGTGAACAACCATTACGTATCTACACTGCCGAAGATGTATCACCATCATCATCGTCTAGGGTTGTAACTCATTCGGCGACACGAGAAAAACATCCATCAACTGAACCGTCATCGCCGAAATTCACACGAACTCGAGATTCTAGAACTCCATAAACAATAGAGAGAAAAAAAAAGAGAATTATTAAGACGTGCACACACACACACACACACAAAGGAGTTGCTGCTTCGTTTTTTTATTCAATATTCTAATTTTTCATACACATATATATATCATTCATTATTCCTCATGTTTTTTTTTTGCTACGTTATTTAATTGTTTGTCACAAATCAGCTGAAAATAAAAATTTATCTCAATCTGGTTTTTAATGCTTTTGACTGTCCAGAGAAAAGCTGCTGGTATGGTTTTACACTTTTGAGACTTGTAGTAGTAATGTAGTGAACGAGAATATAGGTGGGGCAACCGAATTGTATTTAACGAAAATTACAAAGTTACTCAGTAAAATAAGAAAACCATATCGTAAACGGTTAATTTGCACATCTTCAATCCATCGTCTGACATTTCACTTATTCATGCGTTTCATTGTGTTCCCACTCTTCCTTTCCTGATCTTCCCCCATCTTCTGCTGCCAGACATTACGTTGACACTCACGTCATATACTACTTATAAGTAGCGCGCACCACAGTAGAAGTAGTAGTGTGGTGTACGCTACTTATGTTCACATAAGTAGTATATTATATCAAACGGAAATCAAACGTCTGACAGCAAAAGATCGAGAAGGAAAGAATGAGAACAGAAGGATATTTGTAGGTAAGGGTAAAGTGAACTGAAGTCTGAGACAGTCCTAAATGAAAGAACACTGAAATCTAAAACAAATAAGTATTAATTGGCAAATGATGATGATTTCACGGGAAGGTTTTGTACATATGCTTAACAACTCTGTAATATTCGCTTAACTACAGATGTCGATGTTCTTACCTGAGTTTTCGTGCACAACAGTAGTTAGTAGTACATGAGTTCTCGATTATGATTGAACGGCCTTAGCAGAGAGAAGAAAACCTAGCAATGGAGGGTAAGAGAGAGAATATTACTCGATTTATTCCGGGCTCGATGAATAATAACCGTTAACATTCGGTTTTAACTATCTCTAACATCATGTTAAGCTCTCCTGCTCAGTGTGCACTAATATTCGAATTTCGGATGTCAACATCTTCTGCATAAAATGTATCGTTCGATGATGATAAAGCATTTCGATTATTTCCTGTCGAAATTGTGTTAATTTCAAATCGTTTTTACATTGTCGATTAACCTACCCTAGTCTTCTTCATTATCATTAATACCTCTACTATCTCTATCACTATGGGATTTGAATTGACATTTGCGTCTCTGTGCTAATGTGGTATGGCACCCTGAACTTACGTACATACGTACGGAGTTCTACGTTGCGACTGACTTGTCGAATAACCTCCCCCAGTATACGTGAGATAATCATCGAATGGGGATTTTCGATGTCTGAATAATTGAATGAAGAGGACTGTTCGTCGAAAATATTTGAACTGTATCAAACCGAAAAATAAATTCCAAGGATTTTGTGGCAGGATGAATTTTGCATGTTTATTCACATTCTCGTGTGATAAGTAAACAAATTTTAGCTGCATAATCGAGATTTAAACAAGCGATCGAACATATATGACGCCAGATTCTTGATCATAGTTCAGCTCATATATCCGGTTTCCGACGCTGAAAAACTGATCTGTAAACGGAAATACTTTCATAAACTTCATTCTGTGCTTGCTATGAATACTTTTATGGTCGCCCAAAGAGACAGACTACTTTCCGTTCCGAGCAATCAGATAAGTTAGGAAAAATTCCCGTAGCTGTTTTTGTTACGTCACTGAACCATCTGTCTGTCCCCAATTCAATAGGGAAGAAAATATGTCTCAGTCTGATTTAGAGGTTTCGACGCGATAAGCTTATCTCGTTACCACTGAGACTAGTAATAGTAGCACATGAATTCGGTTATGACCGAACAGCCTTTAGCTGAGATTGAAGAAAACTATTGTATCACCGGGTAGGCTAGCAATCAAGAGGTGAGAGAAGATTAATCAATCGACTGGAGCATCCATCAATTCGATTAATGGAAAGACACATGAATAGCAAGACCACACAACACAACAGCTGTGTCCAAACTAGCCATTTAGGGTAGATGAATAGAGTACGGGTATTTATGTATAAATTACAATAATTTTGTTATAAAACCGAGTACTATGGCGATGAATCATACATCAACGAAAGCTTAATATATAATATTTACAGAATAAAATAAAACCAAAAATAAATATCTTAGTCTTTATCAGCAGGCTTCGAATTAGATACAACAATATGCCCAAAATAAGCGTCGGTCGTTGTTTGTCACCGTATCTCTTTGTTTCTCATTTTCACTTCACATTTGAAGAAAAATGATAATGATATATATTCCTTTGTTACATCTGCACAGATAGCCAATGGTTTGTTTATGCAGACAGACAGATACAATGCAGAACTTCGTACGCACGTAAGTACATCAGTTCAAGTTGTCATACCACATCAGCACAGAGACGCAACTGTCAGCTCAAATACAAGAGTGATAGCGTTAACAGAAGTATTAGCAGTAATGGAAAAGATTAGGTACCGAAGATATAATTCGAAAAGTATGATTCAGTGAGATACAGTTAGAAAGATAGAGATGATGAGGAATTCAGAAGGTTAGGATTTGAGAGAACATAAAGAGTGGATGGACCTGCGCCATTGCAAACGATTTTGAGCCATGTCGTTTAAGGTCTCTAACCACCGGTGACTTTCGTCTCGCGGACCCCAACCAGATAGCCTACATCTACCAACATGACTCAGTCCACTTGTCAGTGACTTCATGAATTTCTGCCATGTTTTGGTTTGGCCAACCCTAGCTTTTATTCCACCCCATCAATTTAATCTTCTAATAAACAAGAACAATGAAGGGAAAATTCTCAAAACATTTTCCTATCATATTAACCAATAAATAAAAATACAGTGAGTGTTATAAGTTAGAGAAATTTACAATCATCACCAATATATCACACAAAAACATTTGTTTATTAAGATATTTCAACAATTGCGGGGTTTCCTTTTTCCGCTCACTAAAACACATCATAAATTGATTATTGTTTTTCTAAAAATTAAAAACACCGTCCAGTTCTTCTTATATAATGTTAATAGGAAAGTCGAAAAAATTACACTAATTAGAGATTTTGGTGCATCACTGTCAGATTTATACCGTTGAAGGCTGCGTTAGTTATTTTATAACTAATTGTAGTTATGTCATAACTAACCAATCAGATTGGTTAAGCGCTCACCACGTCATCTAGTCTGACCGGTCTATGGACTTTCTTGTTGTGAACGGCCTATCGATTGAAGGATGTTATTATTTTATTTTATATAGATGTGACTCATGTTTTTTATTCATTTTCTAAAGACACGCTATACTGTCCGGTACGTTTGCTCATCCTGCTTGATAATTGTAATTTCCTTATTTATTGTACTAAATTAATCGTTTTCTTTTTGTTTAGAAACAGATAAAGTTTAATACCGAATTGTCTTCTGTTAACTATAGTTTCACTCTGGACTCTGTCATCGGCGGTATTTGCGTTTACGTCTTAGAATTACATCTGTAGGACAAATTTAATCCTACAGGCTGTCGAGGAAGAACTACAAATTTCTTGTTTTATGCTGTAAGTCACTTGCCAGCTCAATGTATTTGCAAGATTACATAGGGTCTCACAACTGTTTCATAACATCAGCAAGACAGTCGCTGACACTCGAAACTACTATTGTAAATATCAGTACAACAGTAGTCAGTGACTTCATAAATCCACCCTTGGTTAGCCTCCAGTCTACTCATACACCAGTCTAAACCACTCGAGTGATGTAGGCGGCGGATCAACATACGTAAACGCCATAAATCCGTATTTAATTCGTCATTGTTGTGTGTTATTTAGAATTTTCAATAGCCTACTATGTTTCCTCTAATATTTTCTGCTTTGCATAAACATTCGTTGAAATCGATAATATTATTTTAGCTTAAGAATAATATTACTCCGTCGCAAGGTGAATTATCATCATCTCATATTTCTGTAGTTCACTTACATAAATATTCAATATTAATGGTAAAACGATCACACCAGCAAGATTTCTTATGCAGCGTAATTTACCCAACTTAACTGTAAATGGAAAATGTTTATTTCTTTTTCTATAAGTATATACATAACTTTATTATTACATTCTAATGCAATATTCTTCCAGCTAATTTCAAAATATCCATTAGAAATATTTATTTGCACATTGAATTCATCAATCAATCATCGTTATACCACCATTCGAAAACTGGAAGCACTGGACGGCCGTTTTGTTCTGGTATGGGACTCATCAGCAGTGCGTATCCACGACTCCTGCACCTCGCAGTAACTACCAAACACAAATGGGTGAGGTCGCGCAAAATCTCTAGATCAATCAGAGTTAGACATTAACACAGTTAGATGCCGGTCCAGTGGTCTTGAGGTTAAGCGTTCGCGCGCAAACCGTAGGTCCTTGCTTCGAATCCTGCGAGGTGCAGGAGTTGTGGATGCGCACTGCTGATGAGTCCCATAGTGTTAGGATATTCATCAAATATCCGAAGAGAATTATTTTTTAAATCTAATTCTATTGGTCAATATTATGGTCGTTCTAGCTATCAATATCACAGACTTCAATGTTGTTTCCTTTCTGACCTAACTGTATAAATACGCATTATGACCCGGATCCTTAGTCCGAGATCCTGATTCTTCATCTGGACTCGGACCTCTTACTTTCTGGATGTTTGTAGAATACAGGTTCTACTTCATATCAAGTCTTCTTGTTTCACTCACTGGGGGTTTGGAACAATCGGATTAGAGTAGCGTGTCGTGTCGCCGGATCCTCGCTTTCGTTTTATGACTAAGGTAAACTCGTAATAGTCCAAGCATATCAGATTGACATGTTTACATGCATTTGTAACACATACCAGGACGTAACGGCCGTCTCTATAACTCTGTAATTGAAAAATATTTATATTTCATATTGATATTTGGTTGACATTTAATTAATCGTAACAATTTTCTGGTTGTTCTATTCTTACTTATGTTCAATGTTCAAATTCCAATTTCATTGTTAAATATTCAATCGAATGAAATCAATTCAAATCCTCTGATGATATATACTCTGTTGCTTTTATTTTTGTGGTTCATATCATCAAATAGAATGATGTTTCCCTTTTTTTGGGAATGATTATTAATTAAACAAGAACAATTAAGGGCAAATACTCGAAAAAAACATTTTCTTATCATATTAATCAATAAATAAAAATACAGTGAATGTTATAAGTTAGAGAAATTTACAATTATCACCAATATTTATTTGCCTTTTAACTTTCTGCATATTTTCATTTCATTGCCAATTTAAACGATGATATATGCACTGGTTCACCAGACATTTTATTAATTAATTCTTTTAATAAATTCACTTTTTTCAATGTAGCCAAATCTGATTCCACTTCATATAGAACAGATAAATTGGAAATCATTACATCGTGTAAGCAAAATCGACGAGATTGTATTGTATTGTAGAACATGTGGTGGTGAGATGTAGTAGCAGTGGTAGTACTAGTAGTAGAATTATCGTCTAAAGTATTCAATGATTGATGAGTAGTAGTAGTTAGTCCACGTGTTGTTAACTCTTCCAAAGCACCAATGGATTTTGATAATCGTCCAAGATATAAATCACAAATAGCTAAATTATTCGCGGCCTAAATTGTCAAATAAACAAAGATTAATGTGAATTACAGGGGTTGTGAAGATTGTTAAGTTACACATTCTATTGTTGAAACCATGACTAGCTTCTTCGTGAGGAATCTTCTCCGAGTTCTAGTGGGAAGACGTGACCAGTGAAGTTCAGTCCTGTTCGGGTGTAGACAGTAACTACTACCGAAGACTGTCTATGAGGTTGCGCAACTCCGTGAATTTGATCAAGTTAGACATTAACACCGTTAGATACTGGCTCAGTGGTCTAACGGTTAGGGCGTCGGCGCACAATACCGAAGGTCCTGGGTTCGAATCCTGCGAGGTGTAGGAGTCGTGGATGCGCACTGCTGAGGATTCTCATACCAGGACGAAACGGCCGTCCAGTGCTTCCAGGTTTCTAATGGTGGCCTAACATTGATCGATTCACGGTTTCAAAAAATGTGAAAGATTAATGTGACTGAATATAAACAAGTGATGACTCAGTCGTTACTCAATCAATCAATCAATAGCAACATAGAACTTTGTACGTACGTACCTAGATCAGTTCAAGTTGTCATACCACATTAGCATACAGATGCAAATGTCACCTAAAATCCCATAGTAATATAGATAGTAGAAGTATTAGCAGTAATCGAAGAAGATTAAGGTTCGCAAACATTATTCAAGAAGTAGAATCTAGTGAAATAAATTTATAAAGAAAAAGATAAAGGTGATGAAGAATTCAGAAGGTTAGGATTTACAACATTGCAAACGGTTTTGAGCCACAGTAGTTACTGTTAGGATATTCACCAAATATCCTAAGAGTACTATTTTTGGAAGTATAATCCTATTGGTCAGTTTCTATTGGTCAAAATTATGATCGTTTTAACTGTCAAAGTCAAATACTTCAATGTTGTCTCTGATTGGTCATCCGGACTGTCAATGTCACAGACTTTGATGCTCTTTCCTAATCGACCTAAATGTATAAATACACACTATCTGTAAGACTTCATGATTACGATTCCGTTTCTTCCTGCCTACCTCCTGTCTTCTGTTCTCGACCCAATAAACAACTCCATCCCACTGTGTTGCGTTCTGATATATAGGAGATTTGGAAATAGCATTTTGGGTCGTACTGGGATATTTGAATTTGGACGCCGCTAGGACTGAATAGCTATACGTAGCAGCGTTATAACAGTTACTAATTTTGATTTTCGAATGTAAAATAAATAGATTGCCTAAACGTAATATGAATTCATTTGATGAAACGGTCATTTAATGTGATCAAAGAAATGTGTATGTCTGTTTCCTTAACTATCAATTAATACTTAGTTTTTTAATGCCGTGAGTACTCATCTGTTAGGATATTCATCCAATATCCTAAGAGAATTATTGGTCAAATCCTATTGGTCGATTTCTATTGGTCAAAATTACGGTCGTCTTAACTGTCAAAGTCAAATACTTTAATGTTGTTTCTTATTGGTTGTCCTGACTATCAATGTCACTTCAAATGTTGATTCCTATTGGTCGTCTTAACTAACTGTCAATGTCACAGACTTCGATGCTGTTTCCTATTCGACCAAAATGTATAAATACGCATTATCTGTAACGTTCATTGACCACGACCAGGACCAGGGCTCGGTCCCGGATCCTGATTCTCTTCTAAATTCGGACCTCGTGCTTTCTGGATGCTTGTAGAATACACGTTCTACTTCATATCAAGTCTTCTTATTTTTACTCAATATGGGGGTTACAACAATCGGATTGAGTAGCATGTCGTGTCACCGGATCCTCGATCCCCGCTCTCGTATTCTGACTAAGGTAAACTTTTAATAATTCAAGTATCTCAAGTTGACGTGTTTACGTGCAGGCGTAACATCATCAATCAGTTCGAGCTTCAGTACGAACAACAACAACAACCACTCACTGACTATACCTCAGTGTACATCTTGCCGGAGAGTAACCAAACAAGACAAAATAAGCATTAGAGAGTATAAATATAAGCCACATATTAAATGAAACCGATAAAAACAAGTGCTTACCGCTACATTTGTAGGATCTAATTGTAATACTGTTTGTAAGAACTTTTTCGCTTCTTCATATTCCCCTTTACCGATTGATAACAAAGCACTGAAAAAGTAAGGAGATTTTTTGGCTATTCATCGAAAAAATGGGACTTATATAAATTCAAGTAACTGACGAAAGTACAAATGAAAATCTCTACCTAAGGTCGCTAGTCCGGGATCCTGATTCTCTTCTGGACTCGAACCTCGTACTTTCTGGATGCTTGTAGATGCTTGCATGTTCTACTTCATATCAAGTCTTCTTATTTTTACTCAATATGAGGGTTAGAACAATCGGATTGAGTAGCATGTCGGATCCACGATTCCCGCTCTCGTATTTCGACTAAGGTAAACTCGTAATAGTTCAAGTATTTGAAGTTGACCTGTTTACGTGAAGGCGTAACAAAAAACTCAACCCTGGGGGCCGAATGGTTTTCACGTAGAAAGGGAAGTGTTTTGATATTTCAAATTTCAAAGACGAGATGCTTCGTAAGCTACCAGAACAACTGCATTTTCGATAACCAAGCGATCAAACATAAGGATATACAGTATGAGGAGGACCATTTCGAAATTTCCAACTCATGTGTACAAAAAAAGACATCGATATAAAACTTTATTACTGAAATCATGTATTGATCATCGTTAGACCACCATTAGAAAAACCTAGAAGCACTGATAGACGGCCGTCAAGTCCTGGTATGGGAATGACTTATCAGCACTGTGCATCTACGACTCCTGCTACTCGAAGGATTCGGACCTCTGACCTACTGATCCGGTCGGTACCCAACTAACTCCGTCCAAATTCGCTCAACCTCACACGTTGGCAGTTACTGGCTAAGCCCCACGGGGTTCGCGCTCAAGATCGAAGGCCCCGGGTTCGAACCAAGCGAGTAAGAGAAGTCATGGATGAGTACGAATGCCAGGACGAGACGGCCATCTATCAGTACTTCCCAGGTTTTTAATGGTGATCTAACAATGGTCGATTCATGATTCCGGGCAATAACACAACAATCTCCATAAATTTATAATGAGAAAAAAAATAGAATCAAAATTTTATGCACAATTAAACAAATAGAAAAAATTATTACTTCTGAAAATTATTACGTATTAATAATTGAGGTTTATTATCCAATGGACTGTTTGTAGTAGGCAGTGATTTGTCGAAAAGTGTTTTAGCCATTTGTAAATTACCAAACTAAACAATTTTTTTATGAAGAAAAAAAGCAAAACAAAAAGATACTGATGATAAAGAAAAACTTCATAATACTTGAAATTAAGTGAATCAAAACAGAAAATCTAAACTGTAATCCGTTTACTGAGGATAAGTTTCGGTTATTAAGAATTTAAGATTTTCGGTAGTTGAGAAAAGACGTACTGACTTGTTAACATTTTACGGTTCGTAAACATGCGATATATTGAGGTGATAGAGAGTGAAGTAGTTGAACGTGTTGACCGCTTCAATATTTCTCTCGGGAGTCTCATCAGTGCTGATGGCCTGGTGACTGACGAAATCTCAGTACGGAAACAGAAGGCTCGATTGGCTTTTGCCGACGTGCGTCACTTATGGCGTAGGCGAGATATCCGTTTGCTGACCAAAGGACGAGTGTACTGTGCAGCAGTTCTCTTTGTCCTACTTTATGTCTGTGAAACATGGCCAGTGAGAGTAGAAGATATTGATAGGTTGATGGTATTGATAGCATTCGATTAGAGCTGCTCTCGAAGAATCGATCGTGTATCCTGGAATAACCGAGTAAGCAATCCTACAGTTAGGAAACAAGTACTAGGTAAAGATGGCAGATCATTAGATGAAGTATTGAAACTTGATCAGTTGAGGTGGTCAGAACATGTGTTACGAATGTCCAACAACCGACTGCCTCGATAAGCGATGTTTTGTGGTGTAGTAGTTGGTTGGGAGAAAGCTAGGGGCGGTCGAACCAATACATGGCACAAATCCATGAAGTCACTGACAACTGAATTGAGTCATGTTGGTAGGTGTAGACTACCTGGTTGGGGTCCACAAGATGATAGTAACCGATGGTTAGAGACCTTGAATGACATGACTCAAAATCGTTTGCAATGGCGCAAATGCATCCATTGTTTATGTTTTCTGAAATTCTAATCATCTGAACCCTAATCTTCTCCATAACCGCTAATATTTCGATTATCTCTATTACTTTGGGATTTGAACTGACATTCGCATTTCTGTACTAATGTAGTATGGCAACCTGAACTGATGTACGTACGTACGAAGTTCCACGCTGCAACTGACTGAATAACTGACTTGAAGAGGTGGAATATGGGGAAGAATCATTTCGACAATCGAAAAAAAGATCACTATCATAAAAAAATTGACCAATTACTGATGACGTACTAAATAAAACAATATTACAGAAAGGGAGCGATTTCTCAATAACCCTTTTAGGGTAATGAAAGATACTGACAAACAATGTCTGGTCCACTTTAGCAAGTTAACGTAGCTGAAGAATAGCGAATCACTTCGTATGGAAGGTAAATTATTTCATAACCAGATACAATAACAAATGAAGACATGTGAAAAAATCTGATGGACATATTTTAGAAATGATCAGCTTGCTTGGTTGACCTTGAGGATTACATTTCCCATTCGGAAAATCCTTGACTATCATTGGTTGATGCATTATTTTAGTACGCTATTTTTATGACTCTCCCATGGACATTTCTATCATTGTATAAATAAACTCGATTTGTGTGCTTGTTGACCTCATATTTTCTGGGTACTTGTAGAATACACTTTTTACGCCTTATCAAAACTTCTTGATATATTTAGCCGGTCCCGAGGGCAAACGGATTAGAATAGCCTATCGTATAATTGCACCATTTCTCCTCGCTCTGGTTTATCCAGTGAGGTGAACTCATAATAGCATTCAAGCATATCAATTGACGAGCTTATCACTTCTGGACACATTGCAAACAATTATATTCAACAGGTGGCTTAACCCTGGGGTACCACAGTACTACTGTAGTGAACGAGAACACAGGTGGGGCAACCGAATTACATTTAACGAAAATTACAGAGTTACTCAGTAAAATAGGAAAACCATATCGTAAATCGTTAATTTGCAAAATATCAGTCCATCATATCTGTTCCTGTTGCAAAACATCAATCCATTGTCACTGTTCATGCGTTTCATACAAATTCCATTGTTTTCTAACTTTTCATTTCTTGATCTTCCCCCATCTTCTGCTGGCAGACATTACGTTGACGCTCACGTCATATACTACTTATAAGTAGCTCACACCACACCTCTAATGCTACTACTATAGGATTTGATCTAACTATTGCGTCACTGTGCTAATGTGGTATGGCAACTTGTTGCGGACGTTAAATCCCTAGTAGTAGTGTTGTGCTCGAGAACTCAGGTGAGGACATCAACATCTATATATTTAAGTGAATATTACAGAGTTCTTAAGCATATGTACAAAACCTTCCCGTGGAAATCATCATTTGCAAACTAATCCTTATTTGTTTCAGATTTCAGTGTTCTTTCATTTAGACTGTCTCAGACTTTAGTTCACTTTACCCTTACCTACAAATCACCTTCTATTCTCATTTTTTTCCCTTCTCGATCTTTTGCTGTCAAGACGTTTGATTTCCGTTGGATATTATCATATACTACTTATGTGAACATAAGTAGCGTACATCACAGTAGTAGTACGCAGACTCAGTCAATATTGAATACAAAACACAAAGTAAACCTACTTGTAAATGTATACGACCAAGTAGACTATAGAAGCCTTTAAGCACAACTTGATTATTACTATTATTATTATTATTATTATTATTATTATTATTATTATTATTATTATTATTATTATTATTGCATAAATGTATTAATTGCTTAACAATAGTCACTGCTGATTGATAATCTAATTTATGTAGAAATATTGACAAACAACTGGAAAGTACACGAATTTTACGTGCAGTCCATAAATTTAATGAATCTAAAATACAGAAAAAATTAAACACACAATTAGATGATGAATAAAAGTTGGATGAGATTTTGTTTGAATGACGAACTGTAAAAAAATTTGGCCAATTAGGTAATGCTGTCGCACACAGTCTAATTCAGGATGTATTTTAAATACCTCAATGCCTTGCGATATAGTGTGATATAGGCTTTTTTTAATAAGGTGAAGGTAAAGTTGTTAGAATATTCATCAAATATCCTATGAAGAATTATTTTCGTAAGTCTAATTCTATTGGTCAATATTATGGTCGTCCTAGCTATCAATGTCACAGTCTTCAATGTTGTTTCCCACTGGTCATCCTGACTATCAATGTCACAGACTTCAATGTTGTTTCCTATTCGACCCAACTGTATAAATATGCATTATCTGTAACGTTTTATGACCCGGATCCCTAGTCCGGGATCCTGACTCTCTTCTGGACTCGGACCTCGTACTTTCTGGATGCTTGTAGAATGCATGTTCTACTTCATAGCAAGTCTTCTCCTTTTACTCAATGGGGTTTTGGGACAATCGGATTATAGTAGCCTGTCGTGTCGCCGGATCCTCGATCCTCGCTCTCGTTTTCCGGCTAAGGTAAACTCGTAATAATTCAAGCATATCAAAATGACATGTTTACGTGCATACGTAACCAGGTGAAGTTCAAAAAAGCAATTCACTTGAAAATATTGAACTCTGAATCATCGACACTGAATAAGGATAATGTTCACTGAGATACCCCTGAAGCTCCCGAAGCTCAACACGCTATGTATAGTTGTGAGTGCTCAGCGGTGGAAAGTCGGGAACTAGGTCTCAAACAGATTTTTCATATCATCAATCAATCATTGTTAGACCACCATTAGAAACCAGGAAGCACTGAAAGACATCCATTTCGTCCTGGTATGAGACTCATCAGCAGTGCGCATCCACGACTCCTGCTCCTCGCAGGATTCGAAACCCGAACCTTCGGTACTGTGTGCGAACACCTAACCATCGGACAACTGGAGCAGGAGTCGTGAATGCGCACTGCTGATGAGTCCCATACCAGGACGAGACGGCCATCCAGTGCTTCTTCCAGGTTTCTAATGGTGATCTAACAATCACTGACTGATGATTTCAAATGTGTAAAAACACAAACCTCCAAAACTCTGCACCAAAAAAGATTTTTCATAGCTGCGCCCTTCTGGTCTGTACTGGTTCTTCACAGCTGCGAATGTTTTTATTTTTAGTCTGTGCTGTGATGATAACTAGCTTTTGAGATTGTACACATAAATCAATAGAATTATCACATGAAATACATATGTATTTTTGGTTGTCATTACTCATTCATACCTTGTTGATAAACCGGATCTGATTCACCTATTGAACCATCCTCTTTAAAACCTTTTTCTAAATTACTTCGAATCTAGATATTAATAGAGAGAGAGGGGAGGGGGGAAGAAAATAGCATGGTAAATTGTGTATCAATTGTAATTGTTTTTTGAAAAAAAATATCACAGATCAATCGGAAAGAAGAATACAATCCATACTCAATTAAATTGCATGATTTCTCCATTAATTTTCCACTTGTGTGGCCGATATCAGCGTGTTATCGAAGGAAGCGATGTGAACAGGCGAAGCGCGTTGGAGAAAGGCTAATGAGCCAACCTCCAAGACGTAGAGCATGACTACAAATATATATTCAGACAAATAGAAGACTCCCAAGATAAGTGAAGTGATCGACACGCTCGACTACTTCGCTACCTATCACTAGTTCAGGTACCGATGCAACCCAGTCTTGAAGCAACATTTTGCATTTCCAGGGGGGAAACCGCACCCCGAACATGCTTGCATTGTTGCTTATGGTAGTCAGAAGACTCTGCATTTTGTCAGCGTCTTCACCGAATAGAACTATGTCATCGGCATATTCTAGATCAGTAAGCGATTTTCCTGGTAGAAGATCAACTCCTGAAAAACCTGACGAGCTTAATGTTAACTCTAAGAGGATGTCTACGACAAAGTTAAACAAGAACGGAGAGAGTGGACATCCCTGATGGATACCACTTGATGTAGAGAATTCAGATGACAGTTCGCCATATGCTCTCACCCGACCAGTGGTGTTCGAGTAGAGTGCTTGTATAAGCTTAATGTACTTCTTTGGTACACCTTTCAATGACAGACACTGCCACAGAACCTCACGATCCACTGAGTCGGATGCCGCCTTAAGGTCCAGGAACACGACTATTGTCGGACGTCTAAATGTGTGTCTGTGTTCCAGGACCTGTCGTAGTGTGAAAATGTGGTCTATACATCCACGTCCAGGTCGAAAACCAGCCTGGTTTTCTCGAGTCTGCTCTTCACGAGCTCTAGTTAGACGTCTAAGTATAATCGAGGCTAACAATTTAGAAACTTTATTAGTTAGACTGATTCCCCTGTGATTGTCACAAGAGGACTTTTATCCTTTCTTGTAGATTGGGACAATTAGCGACTGAGACCAGTCGGACGGGATTACGTCCAGTTCCCAGATTCTACCTAGGATCTCGGTCAGGCTAACTGTTAAAACTGGACCACCATCCTTAAACATCTCAGGGGTAAGCCTATCAGGACCCGCTGCTCTACTTCGCTTTAGATTTCCTATAGCCAGTTGAACTGTTCCCTGAAGTGTTCTGCACATCGGTCCCGGATTGAGAATAAATAATAGTCCCATCCTTGTCTACTGTTGCCGATCGCCGCTGCCTTTTCCATCGCTTTTGCTTTCGCCACCCACCACTGTTCACGGTCGTTACGTAGAATAATAATAAAACCGTAATTCAGTCTAGGAATTTTTCTTTTCGCTAACTCACTCACTCTTTACCAATTTAACACTCGAAAGTGTCCGAATTGATTAAGGTCAAATAGATTGATTGATAATGTAAAGTTTCTTTAATTATAAATACTCATGAAGATAGAAAAATCGGAAGATCACAAAAAAAATAATCAGAAGCTAAGTCATACAAGTACTCAACGTTAAACATTGTATTACAAATTATCTTCATACTGAATTTAGTTTTAACAACTACAAAAAAGGCATTATTCCCAATCATCATACATGCATAATTTGTGGAGAACAGAATATCATTAGAGAAAATGCAGTCAAATGAACGTAGGTTATTGATATAAGCACGATAGAGTTGTAAGGTATTTATTGATCTAGCAAAATTTTAACTGAATGAAGTTTTGATAAACCTGCGTTAAATTGATATTTAATATTTTTATGATGAATCCGTATATGAAAGATCTTTCTGACTGTAGTTGCTACCTTGACGTGGTGATCGGGTTTGCCTATCGTGATGATCCAACCGATCTATACTGGCTGGAACATATGCTCCTCTGTAGGTTCTACCATGCCAGGCAGGTCGATTGGAGAACGATGAGACTAAAAGCAGCTACTCAAGGTCTGAGGGTGAAGTCGTACTCCTGACTGTAGACGGATGGGACTGCAGTAAGGTGCTTCCATCGGACAACCAGAATCTGCAGAGATGCTGAGCATAGATGCTGTTTTATATCAAGGTATGGAGAGAGTTAGAAAAGGTCGACCTTAAAAATGTCACACCTCACCTTACCTCACGAATTTCCGTCTCCAGAGGTAAGGCCTTCTAAACAAGAGCGGAGCTCGGCAGTCACAATCCGCAGATCGTTAAGACCAACACTAATCTATCTTCTTTTTCAGGTTCCTTAAGAAACACCCTTCCATGGTGTGGGCAGCCAGGAATTGACAACTACCCTCATACCCATAACAGCACACGAAACCGAATTGGTCACAAACAAATCCTTCCTAAACCCGCTAACATCTCTTTCATCTCCACGACTCATCCTTTTCACATCCCTTTATCACACTACACTGCTAATACAAACGATTTGAGCTCACCAAACGTTATATCTGGTCTCCTGAAACCCCGTTCTAGACTATATATCTTGGAGCATTTAATGTACGAACATTGTGTCAAATAGGATAACAAGCTTCCTCAGGTAGGAATTTAGAATCTAGCGCTATCGATGTATACTGCGTCTCTGAAACACGCATACACGATCCTAGTACATTGATGAATTTGACTTCACCTTGTCCAAATAAAGAACTAACTCGGTTTACGCTTCATGTATCTGAAACCCCTGTTGTTGCTTCCCATAACCTCACTCGTATAGGTATAGCATTGAATTCTACTGCACAATTAGCTCTTTTAGACTGGATCCCCCGGTAGACAGTCGCTTATGAGTTGTCCGACTAAACGATTTGATGATATTTAAAAAGAAAGATATACAAATTAGTATTAGGCCTAAAAAAACAATCGAAAGTATGTTTATGATGAACGCATCAACAATATTCACTAATAATAATAATAATAACATAGAAGTGAAGATCAACAGCAACCAATCAAAATCGAGGTTAACAGTACTAGCTACAGGTCATACGTGAAGAAATTCACATACTTCACTTCTACTGTGAAGTTTCTGGTGCTGATGATGTTGTTCAGAAGAAGAACAATGAAAGTGTAGTGCCTCCACAAATATTCCAGTTCGCTTACATCTAACTTGGTTAAGCCCTTTCGATTAATTTATTTAACCAAGCCATTTGTATAGCAACAACTCATATGTACCATTGTTATTTTTTATTATCTGCTTTGTATGAGCTTATACAACTGAGCATTGCTTACGCCTACGCACTTACTCATCCTTTTCGCTTTAATGTTAAGCTCTTATTATCCCCATGAACTCACATGATTTGTATCGCTTGCTTTTGACCTTGTCAATCATTCGTCGCTTTTATTCATGTGTGTGCATGACTATTTCGCTTATCATGTCTGTCTTATTTTTGGTCTGACTATATATTCTTAGTCATGCTCTATCTCTCTTTGAGTTGGCTCTCAGCCTTCTCCGATTCGCTTCGCTTTGTGGTGTGTCCCGAATAAAACGTATTCATCAATACGAGTTCATGTTCTGATTTATAAACCGAGCTTAAGAACACGCATTAATTCGACACACTACAAAAACTCCACAACCGAAACATCCAGCTCAGAGGGAAACAAAACACCACCACAACAAACTTTAATGGAATGACATTGCAATAACAACAACAAAATGGAATAAAACTTACACGATTTATAATAGCTAATAAATAATATAAACGATCTAATGCCTCATTTGTACGATTTAAATGAAATGGTAATTCAGCATGTAATAATCTTAGTGAAAATGGAATAATCGAACCTGCAGGCGAGAGAGAGAGAGAGATAGAGAGAAATCGAATACAACAATGACAATAAATGGTCAAAAGTAACAAGTTTAAAAGTGTTAGGATATTCACCAAACATCCTACGAAGAATCATTTTGTAAGTGTAAATTCTACTGGTCGATTCCTATCGGTCAATATTATGGTCGTCCTAACTATCAATGTCATGTACTTCAATGTTGTTTCCTATTTAACCTAACTGTTTGAATATGCATTATCTGTAGCGTTTTATGACCCAAACCCGGATCCTCAGTCCGGGATCCTGATTCTCTTCTGGACTCGGACCTCGTACTTTCTAGATGCTTGTAGAATACAGGCTCTACTTCATATCGAATTTTCTCCTTTCACTCAATGGGGGTTCGGATACTCAGCTTAGAGTAGCGCGTCGTGTCGCTGGATCCTCGCTTTCGTTTTCCGGCTAAGTTGAACACGTAATAGTTCAAGCATATCAAATGACGTGTTTACGTGCGTGCATAACAAAAAGAATAAAACATATTTGTTGAGAAAATTAGAAAAAAATATACACACACACACACGTGATGTAGATTATGTTCAACATATTGTGAACAATCCATCTATCCTATCTATCTATCTATCTCTTGATGAACTTTGTTCATGATTACTCATCTCCGTCGTTATAAGTAGTATGATACTTTCAAAAACATTTATTTTGCTGTGATTCGTTTTCTTCTTTTGTGTGTGTGTTATTTCACTGTTATTCGTGTATTGAATTAGAATTGCGGTTAGTCAAACGATTAAATACATGCGCACTACTGATGAGTCCCATACCAGGACGAAACGGCCGTCTTTCAGTGCTTCCAGGTTTCCAATGGTGGTGGTCTAACAATGATTGATTAATGATTTCATGTGTGTAAAAACACTAATCTCCATAACTCTAATTGAAAATATCGTAAAATGTGATCACTAGTGACTAGTTTCGTAAGGAAATTCTCGGAGTTCTAGTGCGAAGACGTGACCAATGGAGTTCAACCCTGTCGGGTGTAGGCAGTAACTACCAAAGAAAAATGGGTGAGGAAGCGCAAAAGCTTAAGATTAATCTAAGTTAGACACTAACATCGTTTGACAACGGCTCAGTGGTCCAGAGGTTAGGCGTTCGCGCACAAGACCGAAGGTCCTGGGTTCGAATCCTGCGAGGTGCCGGAGTCGTGGATGCGCACTGCCCCTGATGAGTTCCACACCAGGATGAAACGGCCGTCTTTCAGTGCTGCCAGGTTTCTAATGGTAGTGGTCTAACAATGACTGATTGATGCTTTCAATGTTCAACAAACACTAAACTCCATAACCCTAATTGAAAAAAATATTATATACATATGTGATTAATCATAACTCAAATAGTCATTACATCACTAGAGCATTAAGTATTCTTTTGGTATTTTATTTTCATTTCAATTGTTTGTAGCAGTTGAATACGTTTTTCTCATGAATAAGAATAACTATAAAAGCAACGGAGTTAACTAACCAAAACTCAGGCGAATGTTATCGGTGTAAGTTATAATCCTTGAGGTAGTGTGGTGCGCGCTACTTACAAGCAGCATATGACGTGAGTGTCAACGTAATGTTTGGCAGCAGAAGAGGGGGGAGATCAAGAAAGGAAGAGCGGGAACACAATGGGATTTGTATGAAACGCATGAACGGTGAAATGTCAGACAATGGATTGATGTTTTGCAACAGGAACAGTCCAGTTCGATATGATGGATTGATATTTTGCAAATAAATGATTTATGATATGGTTTACCTATTTTACCAATTTTCTTTGTACTTTGAGATAGATTAATTCGGTTTCTCTCACCTGTTTTCTCCTTCACTACACTAGGATAGTTTAACTGAAGAATTTATGCTTTTATCCAGAACAACATTTCTAGTAATCCACTTTATGAAGTGAGCCAATTATTAGTGTTATAATTCTCTCTCTTTTTATATTACAACCCAGATTAGTATTCTCGAACACCAATTCACTCGAGACATTCTCTCCCAAAATCAGAACATGGTTGTTGAACAGGAAATAGAGATGATATTCCACCAATAACAAGGTTAGTATATTTATGGTTTTCTGCATGAACAGATTCTAGAATGCTCCCCCAGTATTGACTATCGCTGATTGGATATGAAAGAGCCAATCAGCGTGCAATAGAGCAATCGTTTACGGAATATGCTTTAATCCAATCTATGTCCAGCCAGAAATTTTGTTTACGACTAGTTATCTTAGTAGATAGCTTTTTTTTCGTTTTCATAAAGACTGTTTTTTGTTGGACAACTACTTCTGATCACTCTAAGCAAACTCATCAGTGGCAAGTGAAATATCACTGGTTTGTCTTTATGGATTCTAAAGAAAACTAAACTTCGCACAAACTTAACAGTACATTTTGATTGACTAAGTGACTATCAGGAACAGTAATTTTCTATATGTCCGAAAATCTCCACAGGATAGTATGTGGAACATCTAGCTAGTGAATTATAAGAGAGGTGATCATTCAAATGCAGCTTAGTATGGTATCCAAACATTAGAGATCTAAGATTAACTTAAACCATAGGATTGAAAAATATCACTGAATTTTTGTGTATGAGTAAGTGCCAAAAATAGCAAACAGAAGTCAAACCAAAATGTGACACCGGTTTATGAAGTCAATAACTGTTGGAATAGACAACAGTGGATATGAAGGTATCATGGGAAGAAAGGAATGAAAACGTTGACAGGTTTTGAAATCTATGTGCCTTCAACAAACTGGTCATAGGTGTGTTGGGGATGTTAGATCCCCAGAGCTCGCTTGATAAATATCTTTATTTTGGATTTATTTCATGGACCGGACAGTCGACCTTGAGATCACATTTCCCACCAGGAAAACCCTTGGCTGCGATTGGTTACTGTCATTTTAGGGTGCTACTTTTGTGACTGTTCCAAGGACGTCTCTATAGAGTATAAATAAACGCAATTTGAGTGCTTGGATTGATTGTATGCTGACTGGGTGTTTGTAGAATACAATTTCTACACTATATCAAGACTTCTTGATGATTCAATTCAGTCAAGGGATCACAGTAGCCTATTTGGACGCTGGTTCATTGTTTTGTTCTCGTTACTCGGCTAAGGTGAACTCGTAGTAGTTTAAGCAAACCTAGAGACGAGTGTAACAAGGTGTCACTATATTCTACACAAACGCATACACAAAGCGATATGGGTTTCACCCCCGATCACACTACACAGAACCAAATCGATCACATCTACGTCAATAAAACGTTCAGAAAGAGCATGGAGGACGTAAGAACAACGAGAGGTGACACAGCTTCTGATCATCTCTTGGTAGTAGCCAGGATGGAACTAGAATTAAAGAAGCACTGGACAACTGGTCGAACAGCATCACTAAAGTTTAATACGGCCTTTCTTCGGGATACTGGCAAGCTCAACGAATTCAAGGTAGCTCTCAGCAGCAAGTTCCACGCATTTCACTTTGAATTACTGAACCTACTTAATATCGAAGCAGCACCTATGGACCTCCCAACTGATGTTCACCCACCAACAATTGAAGAAACCAGCATGGCAAAGCAGAAAGACCAGACAATATGACGGATAGGGCACTGAAAGCAAACTCAGAAGCAACTGCAAAAATGTTCCATGCCCTATGTAATGAGATATGGAAGGAAGAACAGGTACCAACACACTGGAAAGAAGGTGTTAGTGGGACATAGATGAAATTAAAGCATGACTACGTTGCTGCGCGCTGATTGGCTAGTTTCCTATCCAATCAGCGCCTGATCTAATCTTGGAGAACAGGGTACAAAATTCTCGTATTGTTAGCTGCATGCTGATTGGTTAAATCTACGGAGGAATCCCACTACTACCAATACCAGCAGTCATCAAAAAAAAGGTTGTTGGATTAAACGAAAGATTACGTAGACGCCAAACTTTGAGATCACAAAGCTGGATTCCGTAAGGATCGACTGCTTACTGGCAAGATTGTGACAAGAGAGCTTTATGGAAACTTCCTCAACAGGATAAAGTAGTCAACACCACTTGAATTTTTTTTTGACGGACTACGCTGCAAAATCGTGCATAATGGACAGCTCACAAACTCGTTCCAAATGAAGACTGGTATCAGCCAACGTCGTTTAATCTCATCCTTTGTCTTTCTCCTGGTAGTCAACTGGATTATGAAGACGTCACTATCTGGAGGCAAACACAGAATACAGTGGACAGCTCAGATCTAGCTAGACAATCTGGACTTCGCAGATCATTTAGCCCTTCTATCCCATACGCAACAACAAATGCAGAAGACGACCAGTGTAGCAGCAGCCTCTGCAGTACTAGGTTTCAACATACACAAGGGGAAAAAAGCAAGATCCTCCGACACAATGCACCATTCAGATCACATTTGATGGAGAAGTATCGGAAGATGTAGAAACGTTTACATATCTGGGCGGCATCGTTGATAAACAAGGTGGGTCTGATGTAGTTGAAGAACACCTGGAACTCAAAACAACTAATCAACTAACACTAAAGTCACAATTTTCAATATGAACGTGAAAACCCTCCTATTGTATGGAGTGGAAACTTGGAGAACCACGAAAGTCATCATTCAAAAGATATGGGTGTTTATTAACGGCTGTCTATGCAAAATATTGAGGATGCGTTGGCCAGACAGCATTAGGAACAATCTAATGTGTCAGAGAACAAACCAGAATCCAACAGAGGAAGAAATTAGGAAGAAGCGCTGGAAGTTGATACGACAGATATTGTGGAAAACAACCACTTGAGTCACAAGACAAGTACTTACTTGGAACCCTCAAGGTCAAATGAAACGAGGAAGGTCAAGAAACACATTACGCCGAGAAATAGAGACGGACATGAGAAGAATGAACAAAAACTGGACGGAACTGGAAACGGAAGCCCAGTACAGAGTAGGTTAGAGAATACTGGTCGGCGGCCTATGCTCCATCAGTGGTAACAGGCCTAAGTAAGTAAGATACAAAAACTATTCGCAGTAAACTGTTGGCCAGACACCATTAGGAACAACCTGATGTGGCAGAGAACAAATCAGACTCCATCTAAAGAGGAAATTAGGAAGAATATTACAATCAATAAAGTGGACTCTCTTCTTCACCTACGCGTACATGGACAAATTAGCATCAAGGAGATAGGATATAACACTATCGATGATATAAATGAATGCCAATAATTATTGACATAGATTCTAATAAAGAAGCAACGAAATTTTGAATGGAAGAAATTATACATGGATGTATGGCATTCAAGTTAGTCAGCAATGAGTAGGCACACTGATATGTATATAAATTCAATCTATGAATGTGTTTGGAAGCTGTTAGTGGAACATAGATGGAATTAAAGCATGACCACGTTGGTGCGCGCTGATTGGTTAATTTCCTATCCAATCAGTGCCTGATCGATTTTTGGAGAACAGGGTAGAAAATTCTCGTGTTGTTAGCTGCACGTTGATTGGCTAAATCTAATTCAGTTGATCACGTGAATTACAATCTAGAAGCTTCTCATGTAAATACTATAAAGAAACTAACGTTGTATCTATTTTTGCTTTCGCCTTCGGCTTCTTATTCCATTTAACCTTGCTATTTTGGAATATAATCTTTTCCTGTTCAACCATGTTTTTGATTCTTTGGAACTTGTCTAGTGTATTGTGGTCAGAGAATACTAAGCAATAGGAATTAGCTGGGAATTATTCAAGCAAGCGATCCAAAAGAAGCAGTCAGTTCACTAGACTAGAAGTCAACAACAAAGACGGTTAGATATGAACTCAAGAATAAATGGAGAGAATAAAACCTATGCATAGAAAGTCAATCACAAACAAAGTCATCAGGATGAGGTGATATAACAGCTGCGGAATAACTTTCAGATGAAATGAGCGTTAAAGGTGTCACGAGTTAAATTGAAAGTCTAGTAATTAAGCCATCCAATTCAAAGAATACAACGACCCCAATACACAAATATATATATATAAACATATGCATGTACTCCACTACCTGTTCGTCCAGGATATCGTTGAGGGAAATATTCAAAATAAAAATTTGGTGCATCCATATTATGAAAAGTAGCAAATTCACGTTCAGCTAACTCGTAATTTTGTGTACGAATTAATAAGGCCAGCCGACTTAACCAGATCTAACAAAAAAGAAAAGAGGCAATCGATAAGAACAGTTAGTGGTTAAACTACTAGTGTGGTGTGAGCTACTTATAAGTAGTATATGACGTAAGTGTCAACGTAATGTCTGACAGCAGAAGATGGGGGAAGATCAAGAGAAAGGAAGAGTGGGAACACAATGGAATTTGTATGAAACGCATGAATAGTGACAATGGATTGATGTTGTTTGCAACAGGAACAGTCCAGTTCGATATGATGAACTGATATTTTGCAAATTAACAATTTACGATATGGTTTTCCAATTTTACTGAGTAACTCTGTAATTTTCGTTAAATACAATTCGGTTTCCCCACCTGTGTTCTCCTTCACTACACTAGTAATAATGTTATAACATGGATATATAATTTTTTTTAAAAAATATGCAATAAAAAATTGTAAATTTAACCCTCTGGAAGTCACGAGGTTGATGCCCCTTTCTCACAACCACAGTAACCATTCTTCTAGGTACATGGAATATTTGTACATTGTGGGAGACTGGAAGACTATTTCAAGTTGCTTCAGAAATGAAATGATACAATCTGGAGGTGCTTGGAATCAGTGAAACACATTGGACGCGGGTAGGACACAAAACACTAGATTCAGGAAAGCTGCTGTCATACTCTGGTCATGAAGAGGAAAATGCTTCACATACACAAGGAGTTGCACTGATGCTTTCCAAACAAGTACGTTGCAACTGACTGACTGACTGAATGCTATGCACCTAGAACGACTACAATGAAGACGTTAACAACCAATTCTATGAGAGGCTGCAGTCAATCGTCAAGAGAAGCTCATCAAAGGATTTGACCACTCCGATGGGAGACCTAAATGCAAAAGTTGACACGGACAGGGAGGAATGAAAATGGTGAGAGGTTTGCAAACCTATTTGCCTTCAAAAAGCTGATCATCGGCGGTACAATATTCCCGCACAAACGCATACACAAAGCCATATGGATTTCACCAGATCACACTACTCAGAACCAAATCGACGATATGTATCATTAAAATGCTCAGAAGGACCATGGAGGAGGTGAGAACCAAGGGAGGAGCTAATATAGCCTCAGATTATCACTTGCTGGTCGCCAAAATGAGACTAACAATGTGGTGAACAACATCACAAAAGTTTAATACGGCAGTTCCTCAGGATACTGGAAAGCTCAACGAATTTAAGATAGCCCTCTGCAATAGGTTCCACGCCTTGCATGATCTACTCAATGGAGAGGAAATAACCATGGAGGACGATCGCGAAGGGATCAAGGAGGCAATCACTTCAACATGTCAAGAGGTTACGGGCCACTGTGAGTACCATCACAAGGAATGGATCACTGTTGGTTCACTTGAAAAAAAAATTTTTATAAACGATGGTGTATTTACAAGTTAAGGTAATCACACTGTGATACAATACAATAATAAAATATTTACCTGAGCAGTATATGGAGTTAAAACAGCTTCAGTTTCACCTTCAATAAAACCTGAAGTTGAAAGAATACGATAGGTAAGATTCAGTGCACAAGTATACCATCCATTGGTCTAGAACAAAAAAAAAGAATTAGATGAGAAAATGTAAGTAGGATAGATTTGGAAAAAATTGCAGTGTTATGAACACTGATTGCAGTGTAGTTCACCCTATGCAAATTCAGTAATCAGATAGAATTTCGTGTACACGGTTGGGTCACCACTTACTTGTAAGTCAGGGGGCAAATGTGGTTCACTCAGTCAGCCAGTCAGTCAGTTACAACGAAGAACGTCCTACGTAAGTACATCCGTTCAGGTTGTCATACCACATTAGCACAGAGACGCAATTGTCAATTCAAATCGCACAATGGTAGAGATAGTAGAAGTATTAGCAGTAATGGAGAAGATTAGGGTTCGAAGATATTATTCAAGAAGTATAATTCAGTGAAATAAGTTTAGAAAGACAAAGGTAGAGGTGCTGACGAATCCATAAGTTTAGGATTTATGAGAACACAACGAGTGTGTATGCACTTGCGCCATTGCAAACGATTTTGAGCCATATCATTCAAGGTCTCTAACCATTGGTGACTTTCGTCTCGCGGACCGCAACCAGATAGTCTACATCTACCAACATGACTCAGTCCACTTGTCACACAAACAGAAGTATGTGGGATGAAGTGTACGTCTGAACTACAACCAACTATCCCATAAATAGAAGGCTAAAACAAACATAACAATTAGCTGGAAAGAGATTTTGTTTAAATTAACACCTCACCTTAACACATTTAACATTACTGTATGTAAGGAGAAACATTATACATACAAGAGTACATCTGAAATTAACTTTTGTTAGGAAAGAGAGCAAATTCATTTTGTTATTTTTGATAAGACTCATGAAATATTACAACAAGATAAATTGCTTGATAAATAAACGATCACTGATAACTGATTTTCTCTGCAAAGTTATGCCCTAAAACATACACTAAACTAGCAAAGAATTACTAACAATTGATTCAGACATTGAACACTAAACACATTTTGGGAAAAAAACACTATATATATAGTTGTTCGAAGACGAAACCCTTTGTGAAATATTTCTACAAAGTAGAATAGTAACTCGATGATATACAATACATAGTTCACTTTTGATAGGCCATACATTAAACATAGTAGATATTCGGTGAAGACGCTGACAAAAAGCAGTCTTCTGACTACCACAAGCAACAATGCAAGCATGTTCGGGATGCGGTTCCCACCCTCGAAATGCAAAATGTTGCTTTATGATTGGGTTTCATCGGCACCTGAACTAGTGATAGGTAGTGAAGTAGTCGAACGTGTAGACCGCTTCACTTATCTGGGGAATCTCATTAGTGCCGACGGCCTGGTGAGTGACGAAATCTCAACTCGGATACAGAAAGCTAGATTAGCTTTTGCCAATTTACGCCGTTTATGGCGTAGGCGAGATATCCGTTCGCTAACCAGAGGACAGGTGTACTGCGCAGTAGTTCGCTCCGTTCTCCTATACGGATGCGAAACATGGCCGTTAAGAGTAAAAGATGTTCGTAGGTTACTAGTATTCGATCATAGATGTTTAAGAAGCATTGCTCGTATATCGTGGGACAACCGAGTAAGCAATGCTGTCGTTAGGAAACGAGTATTAGGTAAGGATGGCAAATCAATAGATTAAGTATTAAAACTTCATCAGTTATGGTGGTTTGGACATGTGTTACGAATGCCTAACCACCGACTGCCTCGACTAGCTATGTCTTGTGGTGTAGGAGTAGGTTGGAAGAAAGTTAGGGGCGGCCAGACTAAAACATGGCACAAATGCATGAAGTCACTGACAATTGGACTGAGTCATGTTGGTAGATGTAGACTATCTGGTTGGGGTCCGCGAGACGAAAGTCACTAATGGTTAGAGACCTTGAACTACATGGCTCAGAATCGTTTGCAATGGCGCAAGTGCATCCATTCGTTGTGCTCTCTCAAATCCTAACCTTCTGGATTCGTCAGCACCCCTACCTTTGTCTTTCTAACCTTATCTCACTGAATTATACTTCTTGAATATCTTCAAACCCTAGTCTTCTTCATTACCATTAATACCTGTAATATCTTTATCACTATGGGATTTGATTTGACATTTGCGTCTCTGTGCTTATGTGGTATGGCAACATGAACTTATGTACACACGTACGAAGTTCTACGTTGCAACTAACTAAATAACTAAAGATATGAAGTTGCAAACACATACTCTTAACGATCAAAATAACAGGTAGATGTAAAAATTATTCACAGTAAACTAGTGTCACCAAAACATTCAAGTTTGTGAAAATATCCTTCTAAAGATAATATCACATCGATAATTGCATTGTAATATAATAGATACCCAGCAAACTTACAATTAATTTTTTAAGTTCATCAACGCTTTGATTTTTCAAGTCAATAGATGGAGATTGTCGGATAGCATTCACAACATATGGTTCATCACCCGTATACTGAGCCAATAAATAATGAAATGGATCAAATGCAAAATTGTTACTCGTACCACCAAATTCATAATCTTTTCCCATAAGAATAGGTCTGATTTCAAGTGATTTATTTCCAGAAGTTGGATTAAGTAATACTTTTTGAGTTGATTCAGACGGTAACCAAGCATCACGTTGTCTTAAACGATTCAAACTACTAGCATCTTGTTGAGGCTCTAACTCAGTATACTTTTTTGATATATCAGGATTGTCAATTGATTCCGACTATGAAAATAGCAATAAAGTCATTGGATAGAGAAGTTACATGGTATACATGTTTGTATATGAATAAAATTTAACATTACGTAATAAATATCTATTGCTAATTGAAAAAACAAGGGAAAGCTTCACCACAACGATCGATTAACTGCAGAGTTTTTTAATAATAGTGGTTCCGTTTTAATGGTTACAATGACTAAATGTGTGATTTTGCTAGAAGAGATGATGGTCATGACAATTTTTATACGAAAAGTCTAGATAGATTGAAAACCGAATTAAGCGAAAAGGTCAGTAGACCAGTTTCATCGATTTAGTCCTAAAAAGCTACAATGAAATAGGGAAAATTAGGATAGACATCGTTATTATTGGAATGGTTCTTGTTAATAACTTCAAATTTTCGTAAAAAAAACATATTGCCTTTTGTATCATTAACCGAAAAATTCTTCGTTGAATGATTTGGATATTTCGACTTATCGATGATATACCGGTAAATAGATAAGTAGTAAATTGGACTGAAGACAACTTAACTTGATATGGTTCGGAAGTTGAAACTTATTTGGTCAAGTCATCAACAGTACACTTCTGTTTGAATTATCAGAAACTGCTTCACAATAATTCAAATTCAAGTCAAACTAATATATCATTCAAAGCTAATTTTGAATGCTGATATACTCACTTCCACATACCTCCAATGGGCATCTACGAATAATAAGGACGACGGAGTACGTAGTTATCGTAACTTCACGATTTAAAATGACTTTTTGAATACAGATTATCAGGTCCAAAATCTTTTCAATAAAGCTAATACATGTAACCATGTCGCATTATTAGTTATTACGTGAGGAACGTGAATTATTGTCTAGTATACAAGTCGATACACAAATCTCAGATTAAAAATTTAAAACTCCATTATAACTTGTTTATAGCAAGGTGAAAGATGAAGTGAGCAACTAACCTCCTTTATCAACTCAGTAGGACTGGAGTCACAAACAGGACCGAACGGATCTTCCGATGTTGACTCCTCAGTGAAGTAGCTACTCAGAATACTGGAAGTTTGAAGTTGAGGATCTTTAAGTTCAAAAATATTTAAATTTATTAAGCGAAATATCAACATACCCCTTCCTTGATCAATATTGGGCCGAGAATAATTATCTTCTAGATTAAAAATGGAAAGTATATAGTGATTAAGATGTTTGTTTCAGAATGATGCATAAAAACATACCGAACCTAAATGAGCACTTACCATTAACCTCGACTTTATCTTGCTCACAATTTATACTCATTTTCATGAACAAGAATTCAAATCTTTGGCAGTCTTGTGAGACTCAGTAAGCAGCCAGATCATTGAAAGGTAACGTGTAGGAACGGTGTTATGCGACGTGCTGAACCAACACAGAGATTGGAATTAAGATATCGAAGTTAAAATAGACTTCAAGGTTAAATGGGAAGGACAAATATGCCACGCATAAAATTGTCCAATATTCAATATCTTTTTTTGAGCTAGTGTAAACCAATTAATTTCTTTACGCTCGATTCATATTCTTTCTGTACGGTTCCAGGTGTTTGGTAGTGTGCAATGAATGAATGTCTAGCCACCCAACCTCCTGGTTCTGGTTCGTTGGCAGTTATTTGTGAGTTTGTATGTCCCTTGATTTGGATGAGTACGCTTATTTCAGGGCAGTAGGGTTTCTGGATACCAGCAGCTGTCACATTATCAGACCGGAGATCAGTTAGTTGCGATTTGGAGAATAATAAGGAAAAAAAAATTCTAATGTTAATAAGAATATTTCAGAACTAAGCAAATAAATAGATAATTTGGTTTAATAATTGGTAGTGAAGGTGGTGATAGAGGACCGAAGTGTAAGCAAGGGAGAGGAAATAGAGATAATAGGCGAGACAGATTAATTTAGTGGTCTAAGGAGATGGCAATGATAACGACTAGCAGGTCTAAAGACATGCATCAGGTTGATGATAACCTCATGTGAGTACGTACTTATCAAGTACCTTAGTAAAGCTGTCCATATAGGGGGGTATGGTCATCTCGGATGAGAAAGCATTCCAAGATGCCAAGTCTCTTGATGAAAAAAGTGTGCACGAACCTGAGTATTCTCTTTTTGTTGAGTAATTTTTCGAGGATTGCCTCGAGGGGAGTGGTGGTGATGCATTTGTAAGATGCTCACTTTGGGATGGTTTGGCTTGCTTGATTGGTTATACCTCATGATCAGATCTTCTTAGGTTCTCCTGTAACTCAAGTGCTGAAGTCTATCTTGGTAAGGTTTGTTCTTCAACCCATTTCGTTGCTCGTCTCTGCACTCTATCCAAGAGATTTAAGTCCCTTTTATTCAGAGGGGGTCTAACGACGTTGAGACCATTAAGGCGAGGGCACGCATATGCCCTATATAACGTTAAGAATAATTTTGGCGTGGTAGCACCAAGTTGCCTTCGCATAAAGCGAAGAGTCTCATATGCTTTGGCTGCATCTCCTATGTAGTTCCGGCTAGTGTGGAGGCTTTCTGTGGTTTGACCGAGATCAATGAGTATAAAAGTTTGATGCAAAGACTGAACCTCAGCAGTGCTTACGAGAATGGAGAAATATGTTCATGATGAAATTGAATTAATTTCATTCACAATTATCACGTAAATATTTACTCACTTTGTTCAAATATATTTTGAATTTATACTCAAAGAACCAACGACTTCTATCTTGGTGAATGAATGTTCCCTGGTCCAAAACTAAAACCCATCATGAAATCAACTATTTCCCTTCTCCCTCATAATATGCATAAAGTCTTTCAACATTTTCCAATACATGAAACTACAATCTGATTTTGTATTTTGTCTTGTCTGAAGCCACAAAAATTGTTGAATAATTCAGCAACCAGTGAAAAAGTATTTACTTTTAATTGTAAGAACAATAAACCAGAATTAACGATGATCAAATACGCATATCATTGACTGTCTTGGTGAAACACCAAACTTGGTCTATTACGAAATAGCAGGAGCCCACTGCAAGATATACTTGTGATAAGCCCATAAAATTATGAATTTAGCGAACGAACATTCGTATAAGGTTGTGACAATAGAAAGGAACTAAATGTATTTAACTTTTCTCCAAGTGCTGGAACTAACATACAAAATCACTTAAAATATACATTTCTTCACACCCATTACATGCCGTAGTAGTTCACAAACGAGCTTGTGGCGCACTCAAACGACAAGTCTGAAGATTATAACATTATAACAATTTCATTGTTTCTGGTTCAAAATGTCTTTGGAAATTCCTTGCAAATGCGATACACATAATACCACTCCGCGGACTCATAACCATGTACTCTAATATATATCTGTTGGGAACGTTAGATACCTAGAATTCACTCATAAAACGTTTAAATTTAATTCTGAAAGTTTGAAATTTCGTGTTTTCGGGCCAGTTGACCATCAGCTCACAACCCTCCCAGAAAATCCTTGACTGTCATTGGTTGATGGGTTTTTTAGTACGCTATTTTATGTCTCTCTAACTTATGTTTCTGTCATTGTATAAATAAGCTTGATTTGTGTGCTTAGCAGTCTCGTATTTTCTGCAGCTAAAACTAATGCAGATGTTGACAGATAGCAAGATTTCGCCTCCCGCACAGCGTAGCTAATTTAATGCAACACAGCTACATCAGTAGACGGCATCGCAAATAGAATTGCTGAGTTTCATAATGATCCTGATGCCAACGTTAGTTATGAAGGGAGATGATTTTATTACGCATGCGGGCATCGCCAACCGTGAATGCGAACATTTCCCGTTGAATTCTTTGTCTGAAGACCAGTTTAAAGTCGTCATTCTCATTTGCAACCTACAGTCTCAAAAGTTCACAGACAAGAACACTGCTACTGTGTCGATTAGAAGAAGATCCTAAACCCACCATTTATGACATGGCCAATGAATACCGTCTTATCAATCTACAACCAGACACGAATGTAGCGCAGAGTGGTGGGTCCAGTCGATTTGAAGTTCATTTAGTACAGCAGATATCTAACCAGAATTAATGTAACACCTAGTCCATCCCACTCCAAATCAGTCCGAAGACGAAAACAAATACACCTGCTTCTTGCTGGCACTATGTAGGAAACTGCCAATTTAGGCAAAATCGATGCAGGATGTCTAAGGTCGTTGGTCATAAAAATGGTTTTTGCCTGAAGAGTAAGCCAAACTGATCCAGAAGTAGCAAAAAGAATTTCCCCATATCTATCCACACATCAACCAATAAAACAGGCTCTTCAGTCCACGATGTAGAAGGTGAATTCATAGTTTTTTCCTATAGAGTCCTGAATACAAACATCCGATAAACACTAAAATTCAAATCTCGGGACCAAGGATAAACCAAAACCTGTCTGTTGCGCGTCTTGTGTAAACCTTGAAAAAGTTCCATGTAAATGCTACATTTAGTCTAGGAAATGGTGTAGGAAGAAACACACTTGACAGTAGCATTCAACATTTCGGTCTATCGGTAACTTGAAATATCTCAGACAGGACGAAATCTCTTCACTCTACGAGCTGTTGGTTAAGGTGGAAAGATAATATACAAACGTAAAATGAAGATGTTAATATCACAATGTGAACGTTACAAGTGTGAAAATTATTTGCAGGAATAAGAATGTAGAATGGGAACATATCTCCAGCTTTAATCTACGATATATATTTGCTTGTTCTAAGACTTTGTCTGAACATCTAGACAGAAGCATGTTGCGGGTGACCTTGTGAACTCTTAAAGGTCGTACTACGTTCGTACGCAAAATATCGCTACATACGGTGAAGGGCTTTCTAGTAAATACTTGTTTTATAGATAAAACTAAGTGATGATTAGCAGATTGCAAATTCTCACATACTAATGGTTAAAATTCACCTTGTCCTATTCTTCATAATTGCCTCGATCTAATACATATGTTAATCTGATTGATAACAATTTACTAATCTGAGTTGGCATGTGAGAGTTTAGTCTGCGGTCAAGTATATAACGATCATTTCATGGTTTGTTGTCCTTGGGGAAAAAATCTTCCAATAAATATCCTACGGATTACCTAACTTTATTTCGATACATGTAACCAACCATACAACACAATGGAGACCCGTTTCTTTTCTTTTTTGTAAACACTAGACAAATTGAAGAAACCTAATAGAAGCTACTTATTTTAAAGCATCAAAGTGACACACATACACACAAGAAAAAATAACAATTGCAAAACACTATAGTGAGTGATACAATGGAATGATATACAAGTCCCGAAATTATGAATAAAATTGAAAGAGAAAGAGAGAAATATTAGAAATTATTGAATGGCATTATAAAACATCTTTTGTTCAAAAACATTTCTTGCATTAACACATGAGTTGATCGTTCGAAATCAGTGAAACCCCAGTTACACAAATATCATCATTAGATAATAATTAATCAGACAAACAAATAATATCATTTTAAAGATGAACACAAGCACACATGAGAAGCTCATTTTCGTCAAGATATACATACACATAGACACACACAATAAAATACTTGTGTTCTTGATCAAGTAGTAGTAGTAGTAGTCATTGTTTTTTACAATGTGTCAGTCACAAAAAAACACAAAAACAAAATAGTACAATTCAATGAAGTGAAGAAGAGAGAGAAGACAACAACAACAAACAACAACATAATTATGATGAATTGTAGTGTAAAAGAGAATTGGGGGGGGGGAGAATTTCCAAATACAAGTCAACGAAGACGACGACGACTACCTATCCTACTACTGTCAAGTGTTTAATTTTTTGTCGGAGTGGGGGGGTGTAGTGGAAACAGTGCTAAATATCAAGAAATAAAGCACTGAAATGATTATTTTCATTTGAAATAACAGAAAAACATACACAAAGAAGAGAAAACAAGGAAGGAGAAAGAAAAAAACACTGAGAATAATAATAATGATAATAATAATAGTAATGATCACAGTTTCAGCGCAATAATAACCACCTTTATAGAACTTTTAGACACACACACAGACATACAGAAAAAACAAAGAACAATCGGGGTGTTGTGAATACACAAATGAAGCATTTTTTTTAATCCACTTTGACAATTGAATAGATTTTACGAACAAAACGATTTGCAGCAATGTATCCAACTGAACCTTGAAATGAAAAAAATGAAGAAAAGTTCATCAACACATCAGTGAAATAAATATTAGCGTACAATATGCAATAGTCATTATTCTATAGTACATACGTAGAACTTAGTACGTGTGTTGCCATACCGCATTAGCACAATGTCTGAGGGCAAAGTCGTACTGCTGACTGACTGTGGATGGGTGTGATAGCAGTAAGGTATTTCCTTCGGACAACCAGCATCTGCAGTGATGTCACCTTCTCACAAGGAAGGAAGGGGTTAAGAAAGGTCGACCCTAAAAATGTCACACTCCATCTTATCTCACCGATTTCCGTCTCCGATGGTAAGGCCTTTTAAATAAGAGCGGAGCGGTCACGTTCCAAGGTCGTTGAAACAAATATTAATCCAACTTCTTTCAGGTTACTCAAGAAACACCCTTCCATGGTGTGGGCAGCCGGGATGTGACAACCGCCCTCACACCCGTACCAGCACACGAGATCAAATCGGTCAAAATCAAATCCTTCCTACAACTCCTAATATCCCCCTTATCTCCACGACTAATTCTTCTCACATTCCTTTATCATCCCGCACCACAGTCCGTTTTCTCACTGCACCGCTGATGCAAACGATGCGAGTTCACGAAACGTTATTCCTGGTCTTCTAAAACCCCGTTCTAAACTGCATGTTGGGGATTTTAATGTACGGACAATGTGTCAAATAGGACAACAGGCTTCCTCAGCTAGGACTTCAGAATCTTGCGCCATAGATGTATGCTACATCTCCGTAACGCGCATACAACATCCGAGTAGCGTCAATCACTTGACCTCACCATGTCAAAATAAAGAAGCTACTCGATTTAATCTTCATGTATCGAGAAAGCCCTGTTGCTGCTTTCCTAGGATTAAAGCACTTATACGAAAACTATGAATATGTTGACTCATAACACATAGTATTTACGATTAAACTATAAACTAATTGAAATACTAAAAACTGTATGATTGAATTTGAGAAATGACTAGAAGCTGAATACAGGAGAGTCAGTCAGTCAGTTACAACGTGCAACTTCGTACACACGTACATTAGTTCAAGCTGCCATGCCATATAAGCGCACACAGACATAATTGTCAGTTCAAATCCCATAGTAGTAGAGGTAGTAGAAGTATTAGCAGTAATCAGAGAGATTGATGATCGAATATATCATTCAAGATGTCTACCACAGAGAATCAATTAAAAAAGGTCATGAGGAATTCATAAGGTCAGGATTTGAGAGAACACAAAGAATGAATGCATCTGCGCCATTGCAAACGATTCTGAGCCATGTCATTCAAGATCTCTAACCATCGACTACTATCATCTCGCGGACCCCAACCAGGCAGTCTACATCTACCAACATGACTCAATCCACTTATCAATGGCTTCATGAATTTATGCCATGTTTTGGTTTGACCACACTTAACATTCTTCCAACCTACTCCTACACCACAAAACATAGCTCGTCAAGGCAATCAGTGGTTAGGCATTCGTAACACATGTATTATGTCCCAACCAACTCATACAGAAGAGGCACAACACGCATATTTGTACAATTAACCATCTGTAGGCTAGTTGTCAACTACAATATATTGACTTTCATTTGTTAACAACACATATCGCCCAGAATAAATAATTCTCATTCAACTATTGTTCAATTGATCAATTGAAACCAAGTAAAATATTCAGACATGAAATAGACTAAATACACCCTTGTTCTGCCTTTTTCTATTCAAATTGTGTTCATTTATTTCCTAATATTTATGTATTTATTTTTAATCAAAAAAAAGAAACGGCTCTTTACATCATCGACAGAAATATTCTAATGTTTAACACATTTTGTAGATTTAAACAGAAAAAAGTGTCTGGACAAAGGAACTATTGTAACAAATAAACCCGGTAGTTCAAAGCAAAAATTATGCAAGTAAAATTGAAAAAAAAAAGCTGAACTTTTACATGTATTATGACAACATATGAGTTTCTCATGACCTGCATCAATCTGGTCTTAAATTTATTTCACTGGGTCGGTCATACTTTGTGAATAATATCTTCAAACCCTAATCTTCTCGATTACTGCTCACACTTCTACTACTTCTACTAACACCACAGGATTTGAATCGACAATCGCGTCTCCGTGACATTGTGCTAATGACAACTTGAACTGATGTAGGTACGCACGAAGTTCTACCTTGTCGCTGACTGATTGACTGACGGATTAAAACGACATAACTATGCTTACAATGTAACATTTATAAAACGCCGTAATTCATATTCAAAAACAGTCTAAAAGTGTACAGACACACACACACATAGAGAGAGAGAGAGAGACACTTACCACATAGTATCCCTATACATAAGCAGAATAATGCCATATAACTGAAATAGAAAGTAGTCTGAAACAGACCAAACATTCTGAAAAGGAAAATAAAAGAAAAATATTACAAATGGAATGTTGTGATGTTCTTTTGAAATGTCATTTAACACCACTATCACTATTATTACAAACTCTACTAGTTTCTTTTTATTAAAACAAATGTTTTTTTCCCGATAAAATTGAACTATTGAGAATTTTATAAGAAAAACATGAAACTATGTGAATTTGTGTAAGGAGATAAGAGGAGTAACTTTATTTAGTTGGAAAGTGTGTGGAACGATTTATAAACTATAATATACAAAAACTACAAACGGGATATCAATGACTTCGAATCCATGTCTGAAGTCAATTTAGTTGCACGATGATTCAAAACTCCATATAGAGAGATGAGATAAATTAATTGATGCAAATCCAATATGGCTGCCTTTCATTTCTGAACAGTAAGCAATAAACTGACTATCATCATTTTGGTCTCTTAACCGAGTCCCATTGCTGGTAAATAAAAGTGAGACACTTAATAACGCATTCTGTACAAAAGGCATATAACGAAGTTGGTTTAGAGTGGAGACAGTTGTAAAGCGATCATCTCTAAAATGAGTAAACACACAACGACGCAGTTCAGCACCATCACTTAGAAAGTGACACAACTGAATCTAGGTAATCCTTTGAGGATATCGATGAAGCCTTGTACACTGAAACCCAGAAATCTAGAGCAATGTAAGGAAGGGGTATAGGGTCGGTATTAACTTTATAGTCGATACTTAAATTGATAATGTCAGAAAGCGCTCAAAAACTTACAAAATAGCAGGAATACTATCTCCCTCTCTCTCTCATTCAATATGCCAGGCAAAGTCTTCAACAAGGTAATGTTAAACAGAATGAAGGATTTCATGGGCACATAACTTCGACATCAACAGGCTATATTATGTGAGGATCGATCATATACCGACCAAACTGTGACATTACGGATCATTATGGAACAATCAGTTGAACGGAACTGACCACTCTACATCAACTTCATTGACTACGAGAAAAGCATTCGATAGCGTAGACAGAACAACACTAAGGTGTGTCTGAGAAGATAGTTAACATCATACGAAATTTTTATGATGGATCAAACTGCAAATCGTGTACGGAGGTCAGCTGACATAATCGTTCCAGGTGAAGACCGATGTAAGACAAGGGTTCCTTACTCTCATCCTTTCCCTTTCTCCTAGTGATCGACTGGATTATGGAAGAAGACCAAGAAACACATTACGCCGAGAAACGGAGACAGTCATGAGAAGAATGAACAAAAATTGATCAGACATAGAAAAGGAAGCCCGAAACACAGTGCGCTGGAGAATACTGGCCAGCGGCCTATGCTCCATTTGGGGTAACAGGCGTAAGTAAGTATTCGGACTACATAGTAGCTAATCAAACGACATGGTATAGAAAAAACGTTTCTGCCAATTTCTTGGTAATTACTTTCCATTTTAATGAGGAAAAAATGATATACCTAAACATCACATCATTCCAGGTGTTTTTTTAATGTAAAATGTTATGATGGCGATGGTACGCCTGCACGTAAACACATCAACTTGATATACTTGAACTATTACGAGTTTACCTAGTCGGAAAACGAGAGCGAGGATCCAGCGACACGACATACTACTCAAATCCGACTATCCCAGCCCCCCATACTGAGTAAAAATGGGAAGACTCGATATGAAGTAGAACATGTATTCTACAAGCATCCAGAAGTACGAGGTCTGGGTCCCGAAGAGAATCAGGATCCCGGACTAGGGATCCCTGGTAGTGGTTGTGATCATGAAACGTTACACATAATGCGTATTTATACATTTAGGTCGAATAGGAAACAACATCAAAGTCTGTGACATTGACAATTTAGGACGACCAATAGGAAAGAACATTTGAAATGACATTGACAGTCCGGATGACCAATAAGAGACAACATTGAGGTATTTGACATTGACAGTTGAAACGACCATAATTTTGACCAATAGGATTTGACCAATAGTAATTCTCTTAGGATATTGGATGAATAACCTAACAGGCGATAAGACAACAAACTCCAAAAACCCAGAAAATATGAAGTTCATCGGACAGGTGTTTATGACTTCTTAGGATATATAATCAATTTCCGAAAACACATCATAGAGTAGTGACAAAAAGAAAGAAATACCAGAAACACCAGAAACAACCAAAGTAATACAATCTCATAGGCCTTTTAAACATTGAATAAATAATAGTAAGTACACATAATCCGAAGCATGAAAATGCAAGAGAAAAGGAAAACATGTACTGACTTACTTAGTTTTGAAAAAATAATAATAAATCGAATATAAATAAGCATAAATTGTGATTGATGCACCAGATAGGAAACTTGTCCATTGCCTAATATAAGAAAATGGGATAATAATAATAATAAAGGTTAGCAAATACAAATATACATAACAGAAGGAGATAGCATGATATTCATCATCAATATTTGACATGCTCGTCTGAATTTTCAGGAGTAGACCTTCTACCAGGTGACTAGCTTATTGACTTAGAATATGCTGATGACATAGTCCTACTTGGTGAAGACGCTGACAAAATGCAGTCTTCTGACTACTCTAAGCAACAATGCAAGCATGTTCGGGATGCGGTTCTCACCCTCGAAATGCAAAATGTTGCTTTAACATTGAGTTGCATCGGCACCTGAACTAGTGATAGGGAGTGAAGTAGTCGAACGTGTAGACCGCTTCACTTATCTGGGGAGTCTCATCAGTGCTGATAGCCTGGTGACTGACGAAATCTCAGCACGGATACAAAAGGGCTCGATTAGCTTTTGCGAACCTGCGTCACCTATAGCGTAGGCAAGATATCCACTTGCTAACCAAAGGACGAGACTACTGTGAAGCAGTTAGCTCCATCCTACTGTACGGATGCGAAACATGGCCGTTAAGAGTAGAGGACTTTCGTAGGTTACTAGTATTCGATTATCTACGTCTCCGAAGCATTGCTTGTGTTTCGTGGAACAACTGTATAAGCAATGCTGTTGTTAGAAAACGAGTTCTAGGTAGGGATGGCAAGTCAATAGATGAAGTAGTGAAACTTCAGCAGTCGAGGTGGTTGGAACAAGTGTTACGTATGCCTGACCACCGACTGCCTCGACGAGCTATGCTTTGCAGTGTAGGAGTTGATTGGAAGAAAGCTAGGGACGGCCAAACCGAAACATGGCAGAAATCCACGAAGTCACTGACAGCTGGACTGAGTCATGTTGGCAGATGTAGGCTACCAGGTTGGGGTCCACGAGACGAAAGTCACCGATGGTTAGAGACCTTGAACGACATGGCTTAAAATCGTTTGTAATGGCGCAAGTGCATCCACTCTTTGTGTTTTCTCTAATTCTGACCTGAATTCTTCATCATCTCTATCTTTCTCTTTCTAAATTTATCTTACTGAATTATACTTCTCGAATAATATCTTTGCTCCCTAATCTTCTCCACTGCTGCTAATACTTCTATTATCGCTATCACTCTTGGATTTGAACTGACAGCTGTGTCTCTGTGCTGATGGGGCATGGCAACCTGAACTGATGTACTTACGTACGAAGTTCTGCGTTTGTATCTGTCTGTCTATTCATCACCAATATTTGACAGTGTAATTCTTACTACATGTTATAATTCTCTCTCTTTATATTACAAGTCAGCTACTCCTTGATGCTTAGTATTCTCGGACATCAATTCACTCGAAACGTTCACAACAGTATCGGCTAGCGCTGATTGGATTACGAAAGAGCCAATCAGCGTGCAACAACGCAGTCATGCTTTAATTCAGTCTATGTTAGTAGAATTTTGTGTTTAAGTATCAAGTATTCTAATTAATTTTCCCAATTTCATTAATAAAAAATAAATATTTACTCAAAAAATTTAGAAACTAGCAGTGTAACGGAACAACTAATTGATCATAGTTAAAAGACATGTACTTTGACAGTGTAACTATGTAAAAAGACTTCGTGGTTTGAACTCCATTTGAACTTGTTTCTGATCAGTTAAATAGCACTATTAGGACTCCTATAATAAACAGTGTCATAAACCTGAAACTTAGATAAATAAGTCACAACACACATCCGTTTTAAACTAGGGTTAAAATAGTTAAGCATTGCTGTCACCCAGTCGATTGACAACAGATGTGTTAATTTTGCATTAGAGTATTATGGAGATGATTATTTTTACATATTGAAATCATGAATGAACCTGTGGTTAGACCACGATTAGAAACCTGGGAGCACTGGACGGACGTTTCGTCCCGATAAGATACTCATCGGTAGTGCGTATCCACGACTCCTGCTACTCGCTGGATTTGAACCCAGGACCTTTGGTCTTGCGCGTGAACCACTGAGCCGGCATTCGTCAGTGTTAATGCCTAACTTGATCAATCCTTGTTTTTCTCGCAACCTCGCTGACTGTCTTCGGTAGTTACTGACTATACCAAACAGGGATGAACGACACTGGTCAAGTCTTTTAATGTTAAATTTATAGGGAATAACCAAAATTACTAATGCAGATGGATATATATATATATATATATATATATCTAAAAATGGTCGAGTAAGACTCATAAATCTATTGAAGAAATCCAAAAAACCTCATAACAGCCTCCAAACAGTCCGGTACGACCGGGAATAGAAAGAGTTTGCTAACCCTTCGAAACGCTCTCATATGGCCACTGACAAGCAAGCCGTACTTACTGACTTCTTGTAGCAGGGGTGTTGTTTACAAAATTGAGAGGACGAAAAGCGAATGTCCGGCACCTATAACTGATTTAGTGGGTATGAACGATCCACTGGGGTTAGTAGGAAAACCATAGTTCCAAACGGATGGTGCACATGAACTCCAAGAGCCTAAGACAACGATTGGCATATGAACCGATCTTCAGTTACCGGCTACCATGGGACTACATTTTTGATGTTGCTTCACTGACTTATGGATTTGATTTTTGGGTTAAAGGCTCCAGGTGTGGCCTCCCACGAAAACCACTTGTGCATAAGGTTCAGGCACATCCTAAGTAGTTGACCAGCCCATTCCCAAATTTATTCATTTGTGCGGCACATAAATATTTCACTGACCATTTCTACCAATGTTTATATGTTTAACTAAATAAATTACCCTATTATTATCAAAGAACTCAATAGGCTTTTACGTTACATGGACTTTTATGGATTAGTGAAATATACGATCAACGTTTTCGAAAAGCGATATCGACATTAATGACTATTCCAATCATCTATCGACGTCACCAAAGAAAATAAACTTTTAATAAGAATTTGAACGACACAGTAGAGTAATATTAGTTATCTTGATAAATAATCACAGGTTCTCAGAATCATTCATTATACTATATCAAATAAGACCATTCTCATTTTTAGCTTTCGTAACTGGACAGGAATGAGATAATTCAAGTATCAAGTACAGATTTGTGTATTCAGAGTACACAAACCTCAACTGATGCGCAAAAGGTTAGCGATTTTGAAATCTGTTCAAAATTAAAGTGATTTGATCACTATTACTCAAACACTACACTAGTTCCCCCCATAGTAGTATTTTACACCAAAAATAATCAAGTGAATTTCACTTACCAACGATAATCTTCAGAATTCAACAAGAAATAAGTGCCCACAACAGTAACTGATGTAGTCACAGCAATTAGAAGAAATAGAACGAGTAAAGTAAAGCCAAAAACAAAATAAATTTTATACGCCCAAAATGATGTGAAGACAAAATACCTATAATGAAAATAGTTAGAAAACGGGAAAATAAAAGGTTACAGGTTACAAGTTACAATATGAATTATCTATTGTTATATAATACAGAAAATACATATTTACTTATTCAGTTAGATTTATGGAGATTAGTGTTTGTTGTACACATTGAAATCATCAATGAATCATTGTTAGACCATCAGTAGAGTTCAACACTGTCGGATGTAGGCAGTAACTACCAAAGACAAATGACTGATGAAGCGCTAAATCTCTAGCTTGTTTAGAGTTAAATATTAACAATGTTGGATGACAGCCAGATCAGTGGTCCATAGGTTAGGTGTTCGTGCGCAAGACTGAAGGTCCTGAGTTCGAATCCTGCGAGGTGCAGGAGTCTTGGATGCGCACTACCCCTGATGAGTACTACACGAGGACGAAACAGCTGTCCAATGCTTCCAGGTTAGTTTTGAAATATACAGTAGGCTGATCAAGTTAAGGCTAACACAAAAGCCAAAAAATAATTATGATTTTGGAGTTTAGTCGATGTCTACCTGATTAGATTTATTCACTTTCTATTGGGGACGTTAGATCCCCAGAACTCATTTGGAAAAGGTCCTCCTAATTTTGTAATTTATTTCTGAACTTTTGAATTTTTATGTTTTCGCGACAAGAGACGCTTAGTTGACCTGCAGCTTACATTTCCCACTCGGAATTCCTTGATTGTCATTGGTTGACGCATTTGTTAGTACGCTGTTTTGTGCCCTTCCCAAGGGCGTTGCTATCATTGTATAAATAAGCTTGAGTTGTGTGCTTAGCAACCTCGTATTTTCTGGGTGCTTGTAGAATATTCTTTCTACGCCATATCAAGACCTCTTCTTCTACTCAGTAGGACCTTGGGACTCTCGGATTACAGTAGCCTATCGTGTCACATGGATCATTTGTCTTCGTTCCGTTTACCGAGGAGTAAGGTGAACTCGTAATAGCATTCAAAAGCATATCAATTGACGAGCATATCACTTTCATTTTGCTGATTCCTGAAAAGTTCATACCATCATTTTATTCCTCCTACGGTTTTTATCTCTTTAATAACAAGCGCGATATCGTGTTACTACTACTTCTACTATTTAAGGATTTTGGGGTTTCGGTGAATTCCTTTCGCTGTGTGTGAGGTAGGTATGACAAGTGAAACCGATGCATGATATATCAGATTCCACATAAAAAATTACCAACTTATTTTCACTATCTACACAAAAACGTTACAATAGAAAAGATGCGTTTTCTATCTGTATGAATCATTGTAACATTTTGTGTAGAGAGAAATAGAGATTACATCAAAAAAATACTTAAACACAGATTGATTTTGTGAATATACAAACAAATGGAAATTCTTAATGTTGGGGATGTTAGATCCCCAGAATTCGCTTGATAAATGCCTTATTTTGGATTTCACGTTTGCGAGCATGGGCTGATCAGTTGACCTTGAGATTTCATTTCACACCAGCAAAATCCATGGCTGTGACTGGCTGCTGTGTATTTTATTAGTGTCCTACTTTCGTAACTGTCTCAAGGACGTTTCTATGATGTATTAATAAACGAGAGTTGTATGCTTGATTGTATTGTGATCGCTGGGTGTTTGTAGAATAAAAATCTCTTTCGCGTTTATCGACTAAGGTAAACTCGCAATAGCCTCAAGCATACTTAGTGACCCCAATATTTAAGTATAGTACTATTTAACTATATGGTTTAATGACAGAGAACACACAAGAGCATAAATTACTTTAGACCATAGAATATGGTTAATTCTTAACAACAACAAACTCAAAACAATTGATGTTTTAAATAAATTTGACTAATTTGTGATCATGAAAAGACAACGGGGTTATCATCATAGCGACACAATACAACAATATAAAGCAATGCATTTCATACGATCTGGTGTACATGTATATACACACACACACACTTGTTAAGATGTGGAAAAAAAACACATGAGAAATAATATATAAAAGGTCGACTGAATACATTGAATAGGTTAAAGAGAAATGAAGATTTTTTGTATAGCCAAAGCTTCTATGAAACTTATTATTAGTATACGACTTTGAATACGTTTGTATAGATAACATTACAAAGGCTGATCTAAACACCGAATTTCTCTCCTGTGATCTTTCATTTGATCAGTTTTTGTATACATCTACGTATATATTTAGCCAGTGTTACTTTGCTCCAATCTCTCTCTCTCTGTATGCATTTCTACACATACATGTAAATTGGTAAATGCTGTTTAAGTTTTGGTGAATTATAAGGCCTTGATTTTTCTGATTATGATTGAATTGAATTGCTTTCAGAATAAAAATATAACTGTTATAATACTTTTACGTAGCTATTCAAATCCTACTGACGTCCGAATTCAAATAAATCCAATACGACCCAAATACTATTCCCAAATCTCCAATATATCAGAACACAACGCCGTTAGATGAAGTTGTTGAATAATGGGTCGAGTACAGTAGAGAGGAAGGTAGGTAGGAACGGAATACAAAGCTTTAAAGATACTGCATATTTAGACATTTATTTTGGGGCAGAGTTTTTGAGGTTTGAGTTTTTACACATTTTGAAATCATCAATCAATCATTGTCAGACCACCATTAGAAACCTGGAAGCACTAAAAGACGGCCGTTTCGTCCTGGTATGGGACTCGTCAGCAGTGCGCATCCACGACTCCTGCTCCTCGCAGGACTCGAACCCGGGACCTTCGGCATTGTAGGCGAACGCCTTACCATCGGACCACTGGGCCAGTATCCAATGCTGTTAATGTGTAACTCTGATTGATCTACGGATTTTGCGCGACCTCACCCATTTGTCGTTGGTAGTTACTGCCTACACCCCACAGGGTTGAACTCCATTGGTCACGTCTTCTCAACTAGAACTCCGAGAATTCCCTCATGAAGATAGTCACTAGTGAGCACTGTTACGATATTTTAGGGCAGAGTTTTGGAGGTTTGCGTTTTTACACATTTTGAAATAGGAATGGACCAATAATTCTCTTAGGATATTGCATGAATATCCTAACAATAACAAGGTACTCTTCTTTCGATGTTAATAGTTAGAATATTCATCAAATATCCTAAGAGAATTATTTTTGTCAGTCTAATTCTATAGATCAATTCCTATTGGTCAATATTATGGTCGTCCGAACTAACAATGTCACGTACTTCAAATGTTAATTCCTATTGGTCGTCTTAACTATCAATGTCACAGACTTCAATGCTGTTTCCTATTCGACCTAATTGTATAAATGTGCATCATCTGTAACGTTTTAGGACCCAGACCCGGACCCCTAGAGTCTGGGATCCTGATTCTTTTCTGGACTTGGACCTCACACTTTCTAGATGCTTGTAGAATACATGTTCTACTTCATATCAAGTCTTTTTCTTTTAACTTAATGGGAGGGGTTGGGACGCTCGGATTAGTGTAGCCTGTCATGTCGCAGGATCCTCGCTCTCGTTTTCCGATTACGGTAATAAACTCATAATAATGCAAACATATCAAATGACGGTGTTTACGTGCGTGTGTCCGTCCGTCCGTCCGTCCGTAACATTAACACATTCTAACACTCTCGTCTAACATAACAAAACGCATGAAATCAATAACAATAAATTGTTGTGGGTGTATGATTTTTTTGTTGACTTACAATTCAATAAAAATTGATCCAAACGGTAGTAAACCACTAGCAATAATTAAAAATAACGGTTCCATAAACCATTTCTTTTCTGGAATCGGCTTCGGTACTGGATTTACACGACATGGGAAATTAGCTATCCCAAATAAATTTCTTCCTAATACAGTACCAACTAAATTTAATGGAATAATTATAAATAATATAATAGAAGTGACAGCAAGCATTGTCAAAAATGGTATTGAACGACTTGTACGATAATAAATAGCGACAAGATTAACAAGAAATGCTGAACAACATATTAATAATGGTAAAAGTGTAGCACCCATAAGAAATTGACGTATCCAACGTTTACCTGAATAGAAACACACAGAGAGACAGAGAGAGGGAGAAAAGCAATGAAATATATATCGAACGCAGAAAATAATTAGAGAAAATACTGTGTTTAAAATGATTGAAAAAAATAAACAGTCAATGTCTGATTACAATAAATATGATAAACGTTTTATAATTGACGAATAACATTCCAAGGAAGTGATCATCAGTTATTTATTATAAATGACCACCGACTACTGCCTCGATAAGTTATGTTTTGTGGTTTAGGAGTAGGTTGAAAGAAAGTTAGGGACGGTGAAACCAAAACATGGCACAAATGCATGAAGTCACTGACAAGTGGACTGTGTCATGTTGGTAGATGTAGGCTACCTGGTTAGGGTCCGCTAGACGAAAGTCACCGATAGTTAGAAACCTTGAATGACATGGCTCAAAATCGTTTGCAATGGCGCAGATGCATCCACTCCTTGTGTACTTTTTAATTCTAACCTTTTGAATTCATCATAATCTCTATCTTTCTCCTTTTAAATTAATCTCACTGAATTACACTACTCGAATCATATCTTCGCTCCCTATTCTTCTCCATTACTGCTAATACTTCTATTATCGCTATCATTCTTGGAATTGAACTGACAGTTGTGTCTCTGTGCTGACGTGGTATGGCAACCTGAACTGATGTATTTATGTACGAAGTTCTGCGTTGTATCTGTCTGTCTTCAAATGTCGTTTCCTATTGGTCGTCTTAACTGTCAATGTCACAGACTTCAATGTTGCTTTCTATTCGATCTCATTGTATAAATACGGATTATCTGTAACGTTTAATGACCCAGATCCCTAGTCCGCGATCCTGGTTCTCTTCTAGACTTATTGAATAATATCTTCGAACCCTAATCTTCTCCATTACTTCTAACGACTTTACTACCTCTACTAATATGGGATTTGAATTGACAATTACATCTCTGTGTGTCGTAATGTGGTATGGCAACTTGAACACTGATGTACGTACGTACGTACAAGGTTCTACGTTGCTGTTGATTGAGTGATTGATTGATACCTTACATAAGTGACCAACCATTACGCGAAGACAGACAACAGAACAATGAACTGAAAATTTTGAATCCAAAATGATACAAACATACAGTTCAATCACAATATGCCGCTTTCATGTGGGAAAACTTTAGCATATTAAAGCATTAAGGTTATGTTTATATTTTGAAGTCAGAACAATGAGGACAGATACACGATAAGTGACTGAATGTACAGAGCTCCAAATTTTGCAATAAGTTAAAATATAATCGAATGTAGTTTCTACAATTTCAGTCAGTTGACAAAAGAGTACAAAGTTAACCATTAATCTTTCAATATTCAACTTGTTGAGGGAGTTAATAAATTCAAATCACGTACGTCATTGTGTCAGAAAAATTTATTAATGACGAGTTATAAGGTAGAAAGAAGACATCTGCTGAATGTCTCATGATCTATCCATTTCATATAAAACATTTTTAAATGGTTAAAAAACAGAATGGATGAAAATGAATGGAACGAAACGAGCAAGGACATTGTACTTTGTCACAATGTATTCTAATGAGAATTTAATGTATAGACGATGAATACATGGAAATGAGAAACTTCGAGCGCTATTTCTTCAATGAATCAGCAAACATATCGTTAAATTATGTTTTTTTGTTCAAATTTCAGGCTTTCATTTGATCCTGTTAACTATTGCCGTACCTTTTTCCATTCACAAATTATTGATAAAATCCTGTGAAAACGATCATCTACAAGTCGATAGTAACTGATGGTTAGAGAGAACTTGCTTGATAAATTCCTTAATTTCAGATTTCAGTCATGGGCTGATCAGTTGACCTTGAGATCACATTGCCTACCAGGAAATGCGTTGGTTGTGATTGGTTACTGTGTCATTTTAGTGTGCTATTTTTGTGACTCTCCTAAGGACGTCTCTACGGTATATAAATAAACGCGATTTGTGTGCTTGATTCATTGTGTGCTGACTGGGTGTTTGTAGAATACACTTTCTACGCTATATCAAGACTTTTTTGTTAGTTCCTTTCGGTCAACGGATCAGAGTAGCCTACCCCGACATTTGTTAGCTGTCTCGTTTTCGTTTATCTACTAAAGCGAACCCGTAATAGTTTCAAGCGTAACAAATGACGAGCATAACGCAGAGACTTTGAATGACATGGTTGAGAACTGTTTGCAAAGAAGCAGACGCATCCATTCACTGTCTTCTAACGCGCATGCCAAATTCTTTATGACCTTATTTCTCTTTAGGTTAGTGGGACATAGATGGGATCAAAGCATGAATACGTTGCTGCGCGCTGATTGGCTAATTTTCTATCCAATCAATGCCTGATAGGTTCTTGGAGAACAGGGTGGAAAGTTCTCGTGTCGTTAGCTGCACGCTGATTGGCTAAATCTTATCCAGTCGATCACGTGAATTACAATCCAGAAGCTTCTCATGTAAAAACTATAAGGACACTAACGTTGCCTTCGCCTTCGGCTTCTTATTTCCATTTAACCTTGCTATTTGGAATATAATCTTTTCCTGTTCCACCGTGTTCTTGATTCTTTGGAACTTGTCCAGTGTATTGTGGTCAGAGTATATTAAGCAAGCGTTACAACACTTTAAATTTACTTCACTGATGTTTATAACATCAATTTCATTGACAAATGATAAAACATACATACACACAGACACACACACACAACCAAACCAACTTACCAGACATACGTGCATATAGACTACCACCAACTAATCCATTGATTGGTGAAGTGGCAGCAAAAACAAATATTGCAGTAGAAATGAAACTGCCACGTTCTGTATACAATTTATTAGTTAGTGCTAAAAATAACACTAAAAACGAGACGAAGGCAATATGAATTCCGGTTCCAATTAAACTAGCTAGCAATGATGCATGCGGTGGTGAACGGAACACATCACCATGTACTTGTTTCCAACCATATTCATCGCCTAATTCACGATCCTTTCATTAAAAACAAAAAAACACGTGTATGTATATTCATGAGAATTTATGTGTTACACATTGTTAGAAGGCTTTATATAATATAAAACTTTGGCAAACATTGAAAAAAACTCAAAAAAATAATTAAACTGGTTATTACAGTTGAGTAGCTCAGAATACTACTACTGCTATATTGGCTACCGAGCTATAATGGCTGTAACTTACGTTCCTGAAGGTTCTACCACGCAAAGCAGGTCGATTGGAGAACGATTAGACTAAAAGCAGCTACTCAAGGTCTGAGGGCGAAGTCGTACTGCTGACTGACTGTAGAGGGGCGTGACAGCAGTAAGGTGTTTCCTTCTCATAAAAAGGCCGTGCGTGACCGGCCTCAAGCAGTTGTCCCTTGGACTCTACAGTCACGCTCCAAGGTCGTTAAGACCAACGCTAATCTACTTTCCTTTTCAGGTCGCTCAAGAAACAATCTTCCATGGTGTGGGCAGCTGGGAAGTGACAACCGCCCTCATACCCGTAACAACATGCGAGACTAAATTAGTCAAAATCAAATCCTTTCTACACCCACACATACATCTCTTCTCTCCACAACTACTACCGCTACTACTGATAATATTGTTGGGGACATTAGGTCCCCAGAACTCGCTTGATAATTGCTTTAATTCGGATTTTACGTTTCCGAGCATGCACTGATCAGTTGACCTTGAAACTTCATTTCCCACCAGAAAAATCCATGGCTGTGATTGGTTGCTGTGTATTTTAGTGTGCTATTTTCTTAACAGTCCCAAGGACGTTTCCATGATGTATAAATAAACGCGATTTGTGTGTTTGAATGCATTGTCCTTGCTGGGTATTTGCAGAATATACTTTCTACGCTGTTATCGAGACTTGGTTAGTCATTGGATCAGGGCAGCCTACCCGGACACTGGTTCACTGTCTCGTTCTGGTTTATCGACTAAGGTGAACCCATAATAGTTTCAAGCATAACCTAGTGACGAACCTAACAAATGTATATATAAACATCATATTTATGAACGATCAATATGACTTTAACATAACTCAGTGTGTTAAAAGAACTGTAATGATGTAATGATATCTAAATTCGCTACACTCTAATTGATCTATAATGTTTCGAGAGATTTCAGAAAGTTTTTTATCAGAAAATAACTAATTGACGAATTCAAAATTAAGAAAGAATGTAACACAAAATGATTAAGAAGACATTTTCATCATGACATTGTATGCGCATGTTTAACATACCGGTAGTACTCTGTGAATACTTTGTAGAATTGTATAAATGAGCTTACATTCAACTCATTTTATATTAGTCATCGAATGTTTGCTTCAACCAATTGAATCTTCCCATATATATGATTATTCGTGTCAATTACTTACTTGCTTACTTATTGACTTACTTATGCTTGTTACCACCATTGGAGCATAAGTCGCCAACCAGCATTCTCCAACCTACTCTGTCCTGGGCTTCCCTTTCCAGTTCTGTCCAAAATTTGTTCATTCTGCTCATGTCCGTCTCTATTTCTCTAGTCTTCGCGTCTTTTCCTTTGGCTTTGAGGATTCCAATTTACGACATGTCTTGTGACGACTCAGTTGGGTGATTTCTGCAATATGTATTCTATTCACTTCCAGAGCTTTTTCATGATTTCTTCCTCCTCTGGAATTTGGTTTGTTTTCTTCCATAGCAGGTTGTTGGTGATAGTGTCTGACTAACGGATTGGGTTGGCGACTGTTCATAAACATTTGTGTCTTCTATATGGTGGTTTTTTGGGGTTCCACCTTAAGTTCCCACCTCATACAGTAGAACTGTCTTGACATTTGTACTGAAAACTCTGACTTTGATGTTGTTTGGCAGTTGTTTTGAGTTCTAGATGTTGTTCAATTGTAGAAATGCTGCCGTTGTTTGTTGATCCGCACCTTCACATCTGCATCAGATCTACCGTGCTCATTAATGAAGCTGCCCAGGTATATAAAGGTTTTTACATCTTCCAATGCTTCTCCGTTAAGTATGATTTGGTTGGGGCAAGTTATGTTGTATCGGAGAATCTTGCTTTCCCTTTATGTAAGTTGAGACCTACTGCTGGTCGCCTTCTCTTGCATTTGCTGTTTCGCGTAGGATCGAAAGGCCAGATCATTTACGACTTACATATCGTCCAGCTACATCCGAGCTGTCCACTATATCCCGTGCTTCCCTCCAGATGTTATAGTCTTCATAATCCCGTCGACCATCAGGAGAAAGAGAAATGGTGTGAGTAAACAACCTTGCCTGAATTCATGTCACAGTGACAAATAAAACAAGGCGTACTTCGTTTCTTAGATAAGAAACTGGAGCTTGAAACATGAACGCACAACTGTCTGTCTACATGGAATAGATTTCTTGTGTAATCCAAGATCAAAGTCCACATGACAAAACCTTCAGTACATTGAACAACTGAACTATTCCGCTATTATCAAAAGAGAGTCTAACCATCCATGCTACTGATGAATCTCTAACATGATTATGAAATCGCCATGGAAACCAAATATTTCGATCAGTTGCTTAAGCAGTCAAATATAGATATTTACAAAAGATATCGAACTGTATAATCACAAGCTTATATCATTGAATTTCAATCAATAAGTTATAAATGAGAACAATGATAGTAAATACTGAGATCTGAGCAACGATGAGGCCACGAATGATGAATGCAGCTGTCAGGAAAATGTATCTAATATGAATTGACATTCATTGGGAAAAATTCAGATACAAATGAAAAAACCAAACAGTTCTTCATCACTAAATATTCATAATAAATCTTTGAATGAAGTACTAATGTTATGATTCCAGTGGAGGAGGAAATCAGGAAGAAGCGGTGGAAGTGGATGGGACACACACTACGAAAAGCACCGAACTGCGTCACAAGACAAGCCCTCACATGGAACCCTCAAGGCAAAAGGAAAAGAGGAAGGCCAAGGAACACATTACGCCGAGAAATAGAGAAAGATATGAGAAGAATGAACAAACATTGGACAGAACTAGAAAGGGAAGCCCAGGACAGAGTTGGTTGAAGAAAACTGGTGGGCGGCCTATGCTCCATTGGGGGTAACAGGCGAAAGTAAGTGGGTAATAATGTTATAACGGCACGCCTCTGATACACATAGAACTACAACACTAATGAACCATAGAAGAAGGACAAAATATGCAAAAATAATAATACTACTTACCAAATCACTTAAACCATCTTCTTTATTATATCTTGCATAATCACGTCGTAATGTTCGCATTAAAATCATGCAAACCAATGCAACAAGAAATAGGACCATCATAAATGAATTAAAAATTGAAAACCAATGAATCTAATGAGAAGAGAAAAAACACACACACACACAAATTAAGAAACAACAACAAACATGAATGAAAACAGTAAACTTTGAATACTAACAAATTTTCCATCCGGAAAAAAAATAATTGATGTATCAGTCAGACAGTAACAGCGTAGAAATTCGTATATACGTACGTACGTACATCAGTTCAAGTTACGACACACACAGAGATGCAATTATCACTTCAAATCCTTTATTAGTGGTGTGGTGCGCGCTACTTATAAGTAGTATATGACGCGTGTGTAAACGTAATGTCTGGCAGCAGAAAATGGGGGAAGATCAAGAAAGGAAGAGTGGGAACACAATGGAATTTGTATGAAACACATGAATAGTGAAATGTCACACAATGGATTGAAGATTTGCAAATTAACCGTTTACGATATGGTTTTCCTATTTTATTGAGTAACTCTGTAATTTTCGATAAATACAATTTGGTTGTCCTCACCTGTGTTCTCCTTCACTACAGAGGTAGTAGAAGGAGATAAAGGTGATGAGAAATTGAGACGGTTAGGATTTGAGAGAACACAAAAATAAATGCACCAGTGACATTGCAAACGGTTTGGAGCCATGTTATTCAGGGTCTCTAACAACCGGTTACTATCGTCTCGTGGACCCTAACCAGGTAGTCGACAACTACCAACATGACTCAATCCATTTGCCAGTGACTTCATGGATTTATGTCATATTTTAGCATAGCCGCCGCCCCCTAGCTTTCTTCCAACCTACTCCTCCTTCCTACACCACAAAACATCGTTCGTCAATGCTGTCAATGGTTGGGCATACGTAGCACATATCTCAACCATTTGAATACTTATTACAATTTTTTTCACTATTGATCATCATATAAAATATTAATCTTTATCATCAATGAAAAACATTTCTGAAATTATATTAAACATTAAATACGTACAATGATGATTACTACTCTTTTATGTGTGTGTGTGGGTGTGTATACATTCAACTGATAAGAAACTATGAGGATAAACAATTGAGTTCAAGTTATTTATTCTAATAATAAATTTGCCAAATGTATTTATTAACCCGCATTTTTTTTAAAATTTATTGTTATGCAACCGACACACAACAACGCTACAATGTAAGGTTTATATGTTGTTACATGACAACTGAATAAACACGTGATATGCTAGAATTGACATTTTTCATTTTGCTTTTTGGAACCGTCGTATTTATCGAGAAAAAGAAAAAAGGTTTGTCAATGAAAAAGAGTGATGGAGAAGAGATCAGTTTTTATTTTCTGCGCACATTGAAATCACTAAACAATCATTGTTAGACCACCATCACCAGTGTTCGATGCTTCCATCATAGGTGTCTTCGAAATATTGCTCGTATATCGTGGGACAACCGAGTGAGCAACGCTGTTATTAGGAATCGGGTGCTAGGTAAGAATGGCAGATCAATAGATGAAGTGGTGACACTTCATCAGTTGAGGTGGTTGGCACATGTGCTGCGTATGCCCAACCACGTTTGCCTCGTCGAGCTTTGTTTTGTAATATAGGAATAGGTTGGAAGAAAGTTAGGGGAGGCCACACCAAAACATGGCACAAATCCATGATGTCGTCATTAACGAGTGGACTTAGCTATGTCGGTAATTGTCGTCTTCCTGGTTGGGGTCCGCGAGATGATAATAATCTATGGTTAGAGACCTTGAATGACATGGCTCGAAATCGTTTGCAATGGCGCGAGTGCATTTATTCTTTGTGTTCTCTCAAATCCTGATCTTCTGGATTTTTCAACACCTCTAGTTTTGACTTTCTAAACTTTTCTCACTGAATTATACTTCTTGAATAATATCTTCTAATCCTAACCTCTCCGATTACTCCTAAGGGTGCCCACTAAGGGCTTTCAAGAGCCGAGCTAATACTCAAAAATGCTCTCATAAAAAGGCCGTGTGTAACCGGCCTAAAGCAGTTGTTTCTTGGACTCTGCGGTCATGCTCCCAGGTCTCTAAGACCAACACTAATCTAGCTTCCTTTTCAGATCCCTCAAGATACAACCTTCCACGGTGTGGGCAGCTGGGTAGTGACAACCGCCCTCATACCCGTAACAGCACACGAGACCGAATTGGTCAAAATCAAATCCTTCCTCCCTTAACTCTACGACTAACTCTTCTCACATAACTATATCACACTGCACAGCTAATGCAAACGATGCGAGTTCACGAAACGTCATTTCTGGTTAGGGAAATCTATTGAACAACTTAACTATCATTATTAACAGGACAATGATGAATTAAGTTGTAGATGTAATTGGAAGAAAATTCAAGAGGTTATGTAATCATTTTAAAATGGTTGGAAGTTGTGTTTTAAAAAAAAATTACGCAAGTAACATGATAATATGAATATTTGGCTTTTAATTGACTATAACTTTGTTGACAAAATTAAATGATTAAAAAAGTGATCAGTATTAGACTGAGCCTATGCCGATGATATAGTTCTATTCTGTGAAGATGCAGATAAAATGTAGAGTCTTCTGACTACCCTAAGCAATAATGCAAGCATGTTCGGGATTCCGATTTCGCCTACCGAATGCAAATCGTTGCTTCAGGATTCGCTTGTATCGGTACCTGAACTATTGGTAGGGGAGTGAAGCAGTTGAGTGCGACGACCGCTTAACTTATCTGGGGAATCTCATTAGTGCTGATGACTGACGAAATTTCACCATGGATACAGAAGGCTCGGTTGGCTTTTGCCACCTTGCGTTACTTATGGCATAGGCAAGATATCTGTTTTTCACCAAAGGACGAGTGCACTGTGCGGCTGCATCCTACTATATGGATGCGAAACATGGCCGGTAGAATTGAGGATAATCGTAGGTTATTACTATTATAATATATATGTCTTCGTAGCATTGCTTGTGTATCCTGGGAAAACCAAGTAAGCAATTCTGTTGTAGTGATGGCATATCATTAGATGAAGTATTGAAGGTTCTTTATTTGGGGTGGTTGGGACATGTGTTACGTATGACCAACGACAGACTGAATCAACAACCTTGTTTTGTGGTTTAGGAGTAGGTTGGAAGAAAGTTAGGAGCGGCCACACCAAAACATGGCACAAATCCATGAAATCAATGACAAGTGGACTGAGTCATGTCGGTCAGTGTCAACTACCTGGTTGGTGTGCACGAGATGATAATAATCGATGGTTAGAGACCTTGAATACCATGGCTCAAAGTCGTTTGCAATGTCACCGGTGCATTTATTCTTTGTGTTCTCTCAAATCCTAAAATTCGGAGTTCCTCATTACCTTTATCTTACTATTTTTATGTTTAACTTACTAAATTATACTTCTTGAATAAAATTTTCGAACCCTAATCTTCTCCATTACTGCTTATACTTCTACTACATCTATTACTAAGGTATTCGAAGTGATAATTGCGACACTGTGCTAATGTGGTATGGCAACTTGAACTTGAGTACGTACGTGAGAGGTCCTGCGTTGTAACTGACTGACTGACTGACGATTTCATAAACTCTGCCATGAATTAAATAACTGTACTAACTAAATATGAAAAGCTTAACTAACAAATTACTTCACAAACGATAATATTTAATTTTCTCTAACGAATAAATATAATAATCTCCCTGCTTTAGTTTAAACATTGTACATAACTTCAATTGGTTGACTGTTTCTTTATTTTGCCTACTGTACACGCGTAGACAGATTCAATAACTTCGTCAGTCAGTTGCAACGTAGAACTTCGTACATAAGTACATCAGTTCATGTTGCCATACCAAATCAGCACAGACAGATATAATTGTCAATTCAAATCCAATAGAGTAGTAGAGGTAGTAAAGGTATTAGAAGTAACTTTAGCTAGTAATTATCATTATTGGCCTACTACTCTATGTATGTATGTGTATAATTGTAAGCCACATACATAGTGAGTGTGCTGCTTTGCATTATCACTGGTCAGCAAAAAAAAAAAGAGAGAATTCAATTTTTTTTACTAGTAACAATCGACATAAGATAATGAACAGATGATAACTACTTAACACGACTTAACCTAATTCTACGCCATTTTGTCTAATATTGAAAAAATATGCATGGAATGTTTGTTAATGTGAATAGATAAATAATTGATTGGTGATTGAAGAACAAAGTTGTAGAAATAAATTTCAATCGCATTGTTTCTCTCTTCACTCTCTCTCTCTACTTTTCTTTTCTGCTGCAATCATTAACTAGAGATAATGGTTATTTAGTATTGATTAATTAAATTAAATTAAATTTAACTATATGGCAGACGGCCGAGACTGGCCGCAACAACAGAGATGGAATACACAACAAGGTTGAGAACAGAGCGGAGATAAGCAATCAGGAATGTGAGAGAGAGAGAGAGAGAGAGAAACAAACATCAGACATGAAGAAGTTAGAACAGGAGAGAAAGAACTGGAGACTGTTTCAAGTGGGAGACCAAGTGAAGTGTAGAAGAGAACGGAAATATACCACAGGAAGAGGGCCAGGGTTAGGTAAGCTGATCCCGAATTGGGAGGGACCGTATGTAGTCATGGAGAGACGCGGCGTAGTGTATACGATCCAGATAGGAAACAAACAGAAACGCGTGAATGCCAGTCAACTCCAAAGGTGGTTTCAGATGCGCCAAGAGGGAGAGCCAAAAACACTGATAAAGAAGACGGCGGCTGTACAGCGATCAGAAAGACTGAGAGAGCGACTTGTTAAAGGGGGTGGACGAGTGTGGTGTGTGCTACTTATAATACGAACGATATAAGTAGTAGTATAAGAAGGGACGTGAAAGAAGAAGTCTCATCACGGTCAGAAGAGGAAAACGGAAAGCAAATGGAGCAAAAACAAGAAGTGAATGGAGTAGTACCAACAGGAAGAAAAGGAAGCAACAACAGGAATGGAAGAAGGATGATGGAGTGTTGGAAGTCACGACTCAAAGATGGTGTGCAAATAGTGTTCAGTGTTATATATATATATATGGCTTACTTTATGTCCAAAGAATTCATAATCCAAATACTTGTCAAATCGATCACTGAATTCTATCGCCGATTGAACCCATCGAACCTGGTTTTATGATTTGGAATTTAGAAAACAAAAATATGAAATTTTAAATGAAATAATTTACATGCGGTAGGTAATGTGTGCAAATTAACTTTATTAATCAAATATTCAAGTTACATATAAATAAAAGTATTTTTTTCCTAAAAAAAATTAATTAATCAAAATTGTATTACGGGGTTGTTGTGAAGATTGTTAATTTAAACATTTTTTGAAACTATGAATCGATCAATATTAGTAGACCACCATTAGAGAAACCTGGAAGCACTGAAAGACGGCCGTTACGTCCTGGGTATGGGACTACGCATCAGCGGCAGTGCGCATCCACGACTCCTGAACCCTGCAGGAATCGAACCCAGGACCTTTGGGATTGTAGGCGAATGCCTAACCATCGGACCACTGAGCCGGTATCTAACGGTGTTAATGTCTAATTTGATCAATTCACGGAGTTACGCAACCTCATACACAGTCTTCGATAGTAGTTACTGCCTACACCCGAATAGGGTTGAACTTCACTGGTCACGTCTTCCCACTAGAACTCGGAGAAGATTCCTCACGAAGCTAGTCACTAGTGAGCACAGGTAATTTGTATTACGGGGTTGTTGTGAAGATTGTTAAGTTACACATTTTTGAAATTGAACTGATGAAAATTATTTTAGAAATATCAAATATTTTTAATTCATTGCCTAGTTAGGAATAGACTAAACTTTTTTCTGCAAAAGCAGACAATATCTGCCTGGGGTATACTCAAAAAAAAAGGAAACAGAAGCAAAACTAGATAAATATTTATAGTTTAGACTAACGTATTGGGGATGTTAGATCACCAGAACTCGATTGATAAAAGCCTTATTTTGGGATTTCACGGTTGCAAGCATGGGTTGATCAGTTAACCTTGAGATTCCATTTCTCACCAGCAAAATCCAGGGCTGTGATAGTCTGTTGTGTTTTTTAGTGTGATATTTTTGTGACCCTCCCAAGGACGTTTCTATGATGTATTAATAAACGAGATTCGTGTGCTTGCTGGGTGTTTGTAGAATATACTTCCTACGCTTATCAAGACTTTTCGTTAGGTGTTTCAGATAAGATAGCCTTCCTGGACGCTGGTTCATTGTCTCGTTCGCGTTTATCGATTAAGGTGGACCCGTAATAGTTTCAAGCGTACCAAGTAACGAAACTAACATAACGAAAATAACTTAGATATCTCAGAATATACCGGAGGTTAATCTGTAAACACATATTCTGGTTGTTTTTCCTTCAGTCAGTTACAACATACAACTTCGTACGTAAGTAAATCAGTTTAGTTTGCTATACTACATTAGCACGGCGACGCAATTGTTTACTCAAATTCCATAGTGGTAGAGACAGTAGAAGTATTAGCAGTAATAGGAAATTTTAGGGTTTGAAAATATTATTCAAGACGTAGAATCTAGTGAAAAAAACTAAAAAAGATGAAGATGATGAGGAATCCAGAAGGTTAGAATTCGAGAGAACACAGAACACTGATGCACCTAAGCCACTGCAAACAGCTTTGAGCCATGTCATTCAGGGTCTCTAACCATCGATTACTATCATCTCATGGAACCCAACCAGGTAGTCTACACATAGCAACATGACTCAATCCACTTGTCAGTGATTTCATGGATTTGTGCCATGTTATGGTTTGGCCGCCCCTACTTCCAACTTACTCCTACATCACAAAACAGCTCGACGAGGTAGTCGGTGGTAAGGCATACGTAACACATGTCCCAACCACTCCAACTGATGAGGTTTCAATACTCCATCTATTGATTTGCAATCCGCACCTAATACTCTATTACTCACGACAGCATCGTTCACTCAGTTGTCCCATGATACACGAACAATGCTTCGAAGACATCTATAATCCAATACTAATAACCTACCAACGTCCCCAACTCTTACCAGCCATGTTTCATAGCCATAAAGTAGGACGGAGCGAATTGCTGCGCAGTATACTCGTCCTTTGGTCAGCGAACGGATATCTCGGCTACGCTATAAGTGACGCAAGTTGGCAACAGCCAATCGAGCCTTCTGTATCCGTGCTGAGATTTCGTCAGTCATCAGGCCATCAGCACTGATGAGACTCCCAAGATAAGTGAAGCGTTCGACACGCTCAACTACTTCACTCCCGATCACTAGTTCACGTACAGATGCAACCCAGTCTTGAAGCAACATTTTGCATTTCGATGGGGGAAAACCGCATCCCGAACATGCATGCATTGTTGCTTAGGGTAGTCACAAGACTCTGCATTTTATCTGCATCTTCACCGAATAGAACTATGTCACCGGTGAGTCGGAGTTATGCAGTGGCGTTTAACAGCTAGTTGATACTTATGTAGACGTAGAATGGGGAGGAGGTGACCACACTGTCCGATCCACTGCCTCTCGTCGTTGCTGTTAGTTTGCTTATTGTCTCCAACAAAAACCTTGACATAAATGTTTTTAGCATAGTGGAAAAACCCCGTCTAGATATAATATTTGATAAAACGACAAATAGACAGACGTTTACTTTTTTTTTAATCATGACTCTGCACTACTACTACTATATATGACAACTGAATACTAATCGATGAGTAAATGTCATGATATATAATAGTTACACCATCATCTCAAGGTGATTAAATATGAATAACTAACTAACTGACTAACCGGCCTGACTGATTGATTGATTGGTAGATGGATTGTAATGATCAAAGGTCAACAACAACAACAACAAGAAACTAAATGATCGTTAGATTACACATAATATACTATACTTCAATGAGAAAATCAATATGAAGTATTTTGATTAAAAGTTTCATTATCAACAGACGAATAAGTCAATATACGTAAAGATATACAAAAAAGTGGAAGAGATTAGAAAAAGTGTTTGAATGTTTCTTCGAAATGTTGATATGGGGCTTAATTATGAAATTGGTTTTTTTTCTATCCAATAGTGTGTTGTGACATGCATTCATATCGCGTTAAAAGGATTACAGTGACATAAAGTCACGCAATATCATGAATCGATTAAAGTTATACATCAATTCCGTTGGATGCTGACTCAGTCAGTGGTTGAGAGATTAGGTTTTCATGCACGACTCCAAAGGTCATGGATTTGATTCCCACTTGCAAACTGATGGATGCGCAGTGTTGGCGACTCGCATACTAGGATGAAAAGGAAGTCCAGGGTGCCTTTGGTTTTCTAATAATGGTCTACCGTTGATCGATTTATGAGCTGAATGAAATTCAGTTTAATTTAAATAAATTGATATCTTCTTTATAACCACTGTATCATAGACAAAGGTTAAATGAGTAGCATAGTTTATTCTACCACTGAATTAGATACTACAACGACACACTACATTACGACTGGATCACCTCAAACCAGATAAATGACTCACAGTCAAACAGAACTTGAACTGATATACGTACATACAAAGTTCGAACCCAGGACCTACGGTATTGTGCGTTGGATACCGCCTCAGTGGTCTAACGGTTAGAGCGTTCGCGCACAATACCGAAGGTCCTGGGTTCGAATCCTGCGATGTGCAGGAGTCGTGGGTGCGCACTGCTGAGGAGTCCCATACCAGGACGAAACGGCCGTCTTTCAGTGCTTCCAGGTTTCTCTAATGGTGGTCTAACATTGATCGATTCATGGTTTCAAAAAAATATATATAAACATAGAATTTTATTGAGCGAGAATAAACAACTTACCTTATATGAGAATGCAATTTTAGTATTAGGTTTTAATGGAGTCAAATCACCATTAGCTAAATTGACAAAAACAATTTGATTTTCATTATAACCAATTTCTAATTCTTTATGTGTCCAAATACTAGGATAACCATCTTTGTTTAACTCTCCTACAACACCCCAAATTGGTAAATCATCCAAATACATTTGATACCAATATTGTTGTTCAATTGCTTTACTAAGTGCCGAATAAACCTCTTGATTCACTTCAATTTCACACATGGTTGATTTAGGTTTGTTAACTAAATTTAAGAGATAATTAAAAATGATATATATACCTACTTTTAAATCGAATATCTACTCCACTATATTGAAGTTCGGTTCCTTGTAAAGCTTCACCCAACGTTTCATGTGCATGTTCAATGGAAGTTTTAGGTCCACGACAAAAAGGCAAAGTAAAGTATCCATAAGTTTCTTGACGATTATGATATGGTCCAATAGTATTCATCCATAGAACCACCTCCTCTGCAACATCATACTAGGGAAATAAGGATTATATACAAATAGGATTATTCGGAGAAAATACAGTGATTAATAAAATCTTATATATATATATATATATATATATATATATATATATATATATATATATATACTTTAATAAGCCTAAATTGTCATAGATTTAAACAGAGAAACGGTTTATTTAGCATTAGTTCAACTACATGAAATTCAAGGTTGAATATCTTGTGTATGCAGGCAAAAAAAAACAACAGTCACGATAAGAATGAGCATTTTTAAATTAGTTATTCCAAAAAAAATTACAAATGTCATCTTTGCCAATGACATAGTTCTATTCGGTGAAGACACTGACAAAATGCAGAGTCTTCTGACTACCATAAGCAACAATGCAAGCATGTTCGGCATGCGGTTCTCACCCTCGAAATGCAAAATGTCGCATCAAGATTGAGTTGCATCGGCACCTGAATTAGTGATAGGGAGTGAAATAGTCGAGCGTTTAGACCGCTTCACTTATCTGGGGAATCTCATTAGTGCTGATGGTCTGGTGACTGACGAAATCTCAGCACGGATACAGAAAGCTCGATTTGTTTTTACCAACCTGCGTCACCTATGGCGTAGGCGAGATATCCGTTTGCTGACTAAAGGGCGAGTCTACTGAGCAGTAGTTCAATCCGTTCTCCTATGTGGATGCGAAAGATGGCAATTAAGAGTAAAAGATGTTCGTAGGTTACTAGTATTCGATCATAGACGTCTTCAAAGCATTGCTCGTATATCCTGGGACAACCGAGTAAGCAATGCTGTCGTAAGGAAACGAGTACTAGGTAAGGATGGCAGATCAATAGATGAAGTGGTGAAACTTCATCAGTTGAGGTGGTTGGGACATGTACTACGAATGCCCGGCCACCGGCTGCCTCGATGAGCTGTTTTTTGGTGTAGGAGTAGGTTGGAAAAAAGATAGAGGCGGCTAAACCAAAACATGGCAGAAATCCATGAAGTCATTGACGAGTGCGCTAAGTCATTTTGGTAGATGTCGGCTACCTGGTTGGGGTCCACTAGACGAAATTTACCAATGGTTAGAGACCTTGAAAGACAAGGCTCAAAATCGTTTGCAATGGCGCAAGTGCATCCATTCGTTGTGCTCTCTCAAATCTTAATCTTCTGGATTCGTCAGCACCTCTACCTTTGTCATTCTAACTTTATCTCACTGAATTATACTTCTTGAATAATATCTTCAAACCCTAGTCTTCTTCATTACCATTAATACCTCTACTGTCTTCATCACTATGGGATTTGATTTGACATTTGCGTCTCTGTGCTAATGTGGTATGACAACATGAACTTATGTACATACGTACGTAGTTCTACGTTGCAACTGACTGACTGACAGACAAATGTCATTTCTTTTTTGATATGTCAGTGGTTTATAGTTTTAAAACGACAGCCAATCATTTATTACTACCAATAAACGAACCCTTTGTCCAAATAATCTCAGAATTAAAATAAACGAGTAGTAATAATAACATTAATAGGATATGAAATATACGAAATAACATTTGGAAATAATAAGCAAAAAGTATGATTTTTTATTTAAACTCGACACCTAAGATCTATCTATATACAGCAATAGTTCACGGTTATTTCACGAACCTAGCAGTTAATAGTTGTATCCAGTGTCAGTTCACCAATCAAGCATACCTAAATATCGGAATTATCGTCATAACTTCACCTAAACAATGCAATTACTTTGATGCATGCATACAGTTCAGTGAGCAGTGATCGGAAAGACTAGGTATTATTAAAAAAAGGAATAGGAAAATTTGGGGACTCAGAATTTCAAATTGGACAAAGAATGAATGCATTTGCTTCGCTGAGAACGATTCTAAACTGTCACCAGGAATTACTAACCAATGGTTACAATGACAGCCTGGACCCCAATCACGTAATCTGCATATAATTTCACCACTGTCCACCTCGGATGCAGATTGGAATGATATCCAAAAAGCTGTGATAGTGGTTTCTACCAGTACGGTAAATCATAATGTTAGGGAGAAGCAGTGGATTTTAATAGCACCTTGGAGGACGTTAACACCCTTACATATCTTGGCAGCATCATCGACAAGCAAGGTGGATCCGATGCAAATGTGAGGGCGCGGATCGGTAAAGCAAGGGCTGCATTTCTACAGTTGAAAACTATCTGGAACTCCAAACAACTTTCAACCAAAACCAAAATCAGGATTTTCAATACAGATGTCAAGACAGTTCTACTGTAGGGAGTGGAAACTTGGAGAACTACGCCAAAGCCATCATCCAGAAGATACAAGTGTTTATTAACAGTTGTCTACGCAAAATACTTCGGATTCGTTGGCCAGACATTATCAGCAACAACGCAGTGTGGGAGAGAACAAACCAGATTCCAGTGGAGGAGGAAATCAGGAAGAAGTGCTGGAAGTGGACAGGACACACTGCAAAAAGCATCTAACCGTGTCACAAGACAAGCCCTCACATGGAACCCTCAAGGCAAAAGGAAAAGAGGAAGGCCAAGGAACACATTAAGTCGAGAAATAGAGAAAGATATGAGAGGAATGAACAAACACTGGACAGAACTGGAGAGGGAAGCCCAGGACAGAGTTGGTTGGAGAATGGTGCTGGTGGGCGGCTTATGCTCTATTGGGGGTAACAGGCGTAAGTAAGTAAGTAAGTACATCGCACACTCAGTAATCTCAAAATATACGAAGGATATTTCCAAAACACCTGTGATCAAATATTATCAACCTATACATATCCTCTATTTTTAAAGACCACATTTCACAACTATGAAAATGGACAGAGTGAAGTATTGCATAGTAAACTTGTCCTCCAGCTGATAAACGAATATTTCGCTTACTCCACAACTAACGCAGATCGACAAACTTTTGCAATTCATTATGAGGTTTCATCAGAAATTGATGCACCGAAGCTGAACAAATCAAAAAAATTGTTGCAAGTGAAGTGACTGACTACTTCGCCTACCGATCCTTAAGTAACATTTGGCATTCAGAGATAAACACATCCCAACTATGCTTGCTTGTAGCTCAGGTTTATGAGAAGATTAGGCATATTTTGAGTGCCTTAATAAAACAAGGATATGCTACCTGGGTATCTTAAGTCAATAAGTAATTCCACTGTTAGATTTATTCACGAGAAGTCAGATGGTGGAAGAATGTCTATGATGAAATTAGAATTGTAGAAAGTAGGGGCCTAGACGAATGCCAATTGAATTTGTTAATTTAGGTGGCAGTTAGCTAAAGGTTCTAACTTGACAACTGATTTTCGAATAGGAAGTTTTCACAACGTCTATTTACTTCTTTAGCATGCCTTTCAATGACTAACATCGTCACAAAACCTCTCCTTCAACAAAGTTGAACGCTGCCGTAAGGTCAAGAAATACAACTATAGTTATGTCTACGTTTCGGGACCTGATGGAGAAGGGACATTTTATACATTCATCCGCGCCCAAGTTTGGAACTAGTCTAGTTTCCCCTGGTTCGCTCTTCATGAACCACAGTTAGTCAGTCAGTCAGTTACAACGTACAACTTCGTACGTAAGAACATCAGTTCAGGTTGACATACCGCATTACCACAGAGACGCAAATGTTAGTTCAAATCACATACTGGTAGCAATAGTAGAAGCATTAGCAATAATGGAGAAGATTAGGGTTCGAAGATATTATTCAACAAGTATAATTCAGTGAGATAAGTTTAGAAAGAGAAAGATAGAGATAATGAGGAATCCATAAGTTTAGAATTTGAAACAACACAATAAATGAATGCACCTGTGCCATTGCAGACGACTTTGAGCCATGTCGTTCAGGGTCTCTAACCATCGATGACCAGTCTCGCGGACCACAACCAGATAGCCTATATTTACCAACATGACTCAGTCCACTTGCCACAGTTAGGCCGTGCATGACTACTATAGCTAATATCTTTGATAAGACCTATTCTTCTTTGATCATCACAAGAGAATCCCTGTTTTTACACACAAACAACCAGCGATCAAGAGAAAACAAGCATGATTACAATCAGTTTCCAGATTCTAATAATAATGTCAATCAATGATTGAATGCATCCGGAACTTTTTCATCTTCGAAATGTGTGGCTGACAGCTGTGATTTTCACACGTTCAGTAGAACATCTAGAAGTACGTGCTCTTACTATGACATGATCACAATTCAAGCATGTACTGCAGTAGGAGCCTTAGTCTACCATTTAGCCTCTAGCCTTGGTTGATGGCAATATGGTCTATTTTTATTCATTACAGTCTCGATATTGAGGGTCCTACAGTTAAATAAACTATTTTTTATTGTTAAAAATTTTATTTTCCAAGAATAATAATTGCAACGAATAGTTACCATTATCTGTTTGTTAAGCTGCCATACAGAATGACTCACTAGATTGTTTCATTTGGCCTGAATTACTCAATTACCGGTATATCTACCAACTTAGCTCATTTTTCTCAACTGGAAAGCTCTAACATGATTTATTTAGGTAAAAGAAAGGCAATTAAAATCACGAACATAAATAATGGATAATCTCTAAACACCACTGCATCCTCCTCTTTTTCAATTGGCCTCATACAGGCATGTGTCTATAGTCACGGTCAGGAAAGTCCTGCTCACTATTTTTTTCATGACTTAATGCAGTGTGCGAAATTTGGAGGACGGAAAGCGAATGCCCGGAGCTTAAACCAGGCTAGTAGGTACGAAGGATCTATATAGCTGAGTTGAAAAACCGTGATACCGAACCGATGGTAAGTATCAGCTCTGTAATCCTGAGGGAACAAATGGAGTTCGACTCTATTTTCAGTCACCGACTACCGTGGGACTACGTTTTTGACGCTGTTCGGTTGTTTAGTGGATTAGACCCTTGACTCAAAGGTTCAGGAATGGCTCCCTAAAGAAACTACGGGCTTTGATTTGGGCACTACGACAGTACTCCAATCCACTACGAAATTAGACAGTCTGTTTGAAACAAATATTTGGGTTACATTGTATCAGTAGTCATGTGTTTAAATAAATAATAAATTTATATTTTGAATTGTGTCATACACTTGGCTTTTTCCGCTACTTTCTGTAATAAGGAATGATGATGACAATAACAAAGAGTTTAGTGGAAAAAAACAAGAATCATAGCATTCTGATGCACACCTAGGGACGTACTTTTCGTCCGGAGATCAGAACGCATTAGTTCTGGTCTATTTCTGCTCTAGTTACGTAGAAATACCACCTCTGATTTTATTATAATTAAGAACAGTCAACAACGTCAAGAACGCTTTAGGACAAGGACAGATTATAATGAACAAATTACCCATCATCAAAAAAACCTATTCAATCGTAAGGGATTTTGATATATAATTTGACCTCTATATCTGAAAATAACTTTTAGACTAACTAAAAATCGTTAGATATAAAGACTGACGCTACCGAACCTTTTCTAGCGCATAAGATAGTCGAAATAACTTGCATGATCACTATTACATAGAGGTCGCTTACACGTGCGAAAGCCACTGACCTCGTCGCATTTTTTCCAGGTACTTTAATAGGTACGTCGACGTGTAATACTTTTCCTGGTATATGAACAACAAAGCTTGATAGGGAAGGCAGTAATATAAACCAGAATTAATTTTGCAAAGAACTCACCACATGATTATGTTCATCGGGGAATACCCCAGTTATGAGGGTAGACACGAATAACACAAACAGCCTCATCATTGTAGCGCGAATATTGGGTGACTAGAAAAATCTAACGTGTGTATTCTTCAACAACTTCGGAGTCAGTCTTCTGATGCAGGTGGTGGATGGCGAGCACGGATAAGTAATTTTGTTGTAGTAGTTCAAAAAACCCTGCTCGGGGTTTCGGGAAGAGTGACAAAAAATGTAGGTAATGTGAGCACAATAACAGCAAAGACGCGATGACGATGTAAAAACGTAATCCAAAGATTGACGTGTAACCGAAACTAGACGCGCCACAGTCACAGGGCTTATAGAGACCGCTTCTAATGTTCAATATATTTTTCATCAGTAATTATAACCAGTTCAATGCCTTTTGCCTGTTTTCTGTTGTTTCAGTACGGTTAAAGGTATTAAGTGGTGTCATTCAATTAAATCCAGGAGTTCGTCGCTGTCAAATTAGAGCGATCCTTGGATGTTCTCAAAAATTTTATTTCAATCCAATATCTTTTTCACGAGCTAATATAAACCGACAGATTTCCTTGTCATGCACATCTCCCGAAATCCTTTCTTATCCACTTATTTATTACCAGTGGTTGTAAAACGTCAAATGACCTATCGTGTAAAATTGCATTCTAAATCGTGGCAGTTTCTGCGTAATTTTTTCTCATTAAGTACCAGTGCTTTGCGATGAGCCACTATCGCATTACGAGGTTTTTAAAATATTTACTGCGTACTTTTCAGTCGTTGTACCCAAAATTACTCGATAATCTAAAATGACTTCCAGGTATGTATAAGATGTTGCATCTGATGACTACTTACCATAGCAATTAAACCATTCTAACCTTTCGAACACGCACTCCAATAGGTCTTCCAAATTACTATTTGAATAACTATTCCACTTTTCATTTTACACATCGTCAACACGTCTTGCAAACGCAATTCGCATATGCTTTAGTAGTAAAGGCTCATCTGGGGTTTTTGTCCACCACTATCCTAGTTACTCGACTTTGCTTTTTGAGTTCATAATGTTATACAGGTTAATGTATCTTCATTGTTAAGGTGAACGTTTGATCTAGACAATCGGCTAACATTAGAGACCTTGTTTCACTTCAGAAATTAAACAGGATGAGTCTGTGTGTTGCTCGGCATGGAGAACATTCTAATTCACTCCCTCCTATAAGTGCTGTATGGTGGTGAGTACATTTTAAGGTCCTCTACGATATCGAAGATTATTCTGACAGGCCTTCTTATCCGCGCTGTCTATTAATGTCCCAAAATAAAAGACGTTGATCTATACCGATGATTGACATCTAACTGATTGCCCAGCATGGATCTGTAGATTTGGTCTGTAAATGATCTGTTCTTACAGAAACCATTCAATATCCAATATCTCTTTCACGAGCTCGTGTAAACCAATCGATATTTTTGCGCTCGATTATTGTTCTTTCGCTACGGTTCCAGGTGTTCCGTAGTGTCCAATGAATGGGGCTCTAGCCACTCAACATTCTAATTCTAGTCATTTGGCAGTTGGTTGTGAGTTTGTATGTCTCGGGATTTGGATGAAAAAGTTTGTTTTCCGTTGTCTGTAAATGCTTCATTCTTTTCAGCAGCACTGTGAAAACTTTGTATAGCATTGATAGTGGTATAGTGTTTTCGCTGTTCTCACTGAGATCTTTCTTCGGTTTGTTAACGGAATATATCTGTTCCCATTCTGTTATAACTTGCTTCTCCTCTCGAATCTTCCTGTAGAGGTTGTAGTGGAGCTATTTTATGAAGAAAACATAGTTGCTGACATACAAATACTGATTATTGAACATGTATAACAATAACTTTTATTGTACACCTTTTGTTTATCTTGACTAAAAGCCATAACTCAAGCGTCAACCTTCCCAATCCCTTGGCTGAATTGATCGTTCTTGTTATTTCACTGACTTAAATGATTTAGCCGCAGTGGCCTCTAGTCCTGCCAGTTAGCCATTATCTGTTTGGCTGACAATGTCATTGATTTTTCTTGCTGGTAGAATGTCGACAAAATAATAGTAAATGTTTGCTGCATCGATTTCCGCTAGGTCCATTTGTGATGGTGCAATCAAAAGCTGTTTAGAGTGTATTGCTCACCTTTTTCATCGCCTTTGAATTTCAGTGACTGGTCTGCTTCGCTTGTTCTCGTACGATCGCTTCGGTCTTTTGCGTTTTCCTCGTAGCTGTATTATATAGTTCTTATAGGTCTTTATTCTGAGGCTTGTTTGGTCATATGTATTGAAACTTACATAATAATTACTCTTTATCGCTATATAGAGCAGTTGACTACATCAGAACATTTACCCAAATGACCAGCATTTTACAGTGAATTTGTTGGCAATTTAAAAATTTTGATATTGACCCAAAACTTGTATGCTTCTTGTGACACACTGTTATTTTAGAACAAATTATTATTATTAATATCATGAAGTAGTCGTATAGGATATAGGGCTTCAATATCTCTCATGATGTGCCCATATTTTCTGCGCTGGAAAGCCCTGGGACTACCTTACCTCAGCTAACTCCTGTTGTGGATGTGATTATGGACAGCGGTCTCATTACATGATCGTGTACAACATACCACATACCTGAATACGAGTTAGGTTCAGTAACTGGAGTTGTGGATTTCCAATTCACTTCATTAGCTGATACACCTTAGTAATGTCTAGTACGTTCCAGTTCATACTCTAATAGTCATGAAATTGCCATTACTCATTTTAGAGAGAAAGTAATATGCAGATTGGGAGGTATCATATTTCTTAATTCAAGTTAGGTCAACAGTAATGTACAAATGCAGTGCTAATCGGCAGAAATGCCACAGTCCTAGTTGTAATTAGTTAAAATAATAATGACGGAAAGTTACATGAAATGAAAGATATACTTATTTGCTTAGCTTCTTCTTCTAGCTTTGTTAAACTAATGATCTAAGTTAGGTATCCTGCTTAATCAGATAGATCACAAGATGAAGTAATAACGAATAACTAGTGACCTTATATTACTATGTTGAAAATTCTGTATAACTGACTTGTACATTTTTTGGAGGCTCCAGGGTTTAGATACACAGCTAGCATATTGAGTTTCTTGGGGTCGTCTAGAAGTCTACCTAGAGTTACATAAGGTAAGGAGCTTCCTTGAGTTGTCCGCAGTTATCGGTTACATCTCGACGATAATAAGACACAATTTATTCAATAACTTTCTGTGGTGATGTCAAATAATAAAAAATTATATCGAAAATGCAGAATATTTGAACAATTTTACTCAGCAACTCTGCGGCCAAAAGATTTCACTGAACAAACTGACAAAACCCACGGTAAAAAATGGCTAGTAATTTCAACTGTTAATACTGGAGAATCAACAGGAATGTACCCAATAAATTGGTCTTAGAAACCTTTCTGTGCGAATCAAGTCGAACAACGGATATTTTTATCACGCAGTCAGAAAGAAACAAATCGCAACTGTTCCGCTTAGCAATAGTGAGTTCATTAAAAATGGTCTTGTTATTAACAGAAGTTATAAAGGCTACTGTTACCCAAAGGAAATGCTAGAGGCTCATTCGAGGAAGACTTGAATAAGCCAAAATGTGGCTACATAAGCACCAGATAAAAGTTAGTATACAAAAAATGACTAAAATAAA